GTGTGTTTGGTTTTGCACAATTTCATTAGCAATGTGGGTCTTTCCCTTGTTAATTAATGATGAAATAAATTCCTAGTGTTTAAAATTGACTTGTATTCCAACATTTAGTAACATGAATAAAGCTTCATAAATCAATACTGTTTTGACAAAAAGGCATCAAGAAGTTTGGTGCTAAAAACCTTCAAAACGGATTTCCTTTGTTGCACTGCATGTCTGGCTCCCCACTTGACTTGTGATGCCTTACACTTTCTTTGTTCATTGTTAAAGACACACTGCAACTGTTGAAACACTGTCATCTTTTGAAGAGTATTTTTGGGCATGAATTTTCTGCTTTTATGACATGTTACAGATTTATGTTATTAATGGAAAGAAAGAAAGAGAGAGAGACAGAGAGAGAGAGAGAGAGGTGGGAAATTCATGCAACATTATCCAATGCCCCTGGTTCCAGACTGGAACCAGGGGCATTGGGTTAATCGTTGGTGCCTTAAACCCCTCAGTCACCCCATATTTCCACTTTTTGGCCACAATGTTAGACACCACTATTACAGCCCACAATAATAAGTGTGTGAACAAGCAAGCAACAGGCAATAAAAGATAATGTCTTATGAGCCTTCAACCACATTTATATTTAACATACAGTGATTGTGCAGAGCAAATGCAGCTCGTCCCTTGACACAGCTACAGGTCATTCATGCTATGTAAACAATGACTCACCTTTAATAATACTAGATACATACAGCACATTGCCTATAGTCAAATGGGCCAAGGTGATGGAGCACTTTCTCGGTTCCCTCTGGACATCACGGCAGCAGCAGAGGACATTTTACACAGTGTACATCGGGAGGAAGAGAGGAGAGTCTGCAGAGCGATCCGTGGGGGCGGATCAGGACAAGATCAATGGGAGTGACAGGGAGTGCAGGAGGCAGCAGGAGATTCAAAGTAGGCCAATAAATAACATCCTAGTGAGACAGCAACCGCCTCCCCCTCAGCCGCCACCGCCCCGTTCCACCCCCGACCCCCCTGGCCCCACCGACTGGGCCCCCTTGATTACTGGCCTCAGAGGGGGGGATGGTGGCCCCGGCTGCACAATACACCTCTCATACGGGGTCTTCACTCACCTCTTGCCTCCATTTGTTGGACATTCATCTTTCAGCATGTGTGTGAGTTTGTTTAGGGGGTGGGGGCTCAGTGGATGAGGGGCTAGCAGGGACTGGTTGGGACGGGGATGGAGAGATGGAAGGGGGTGGAGGTCTATGAGTGTGTGTGGTGGAGTGGGGGCTCCTCTATGTTTTTTACATCTTCTCCCTTCCAACACTCACCCATCCCCCTCCCTACGCACCACTATATATTCTGTCTTGCCCCCCCATCCCAGACCACTAAGCTCTGCACTGTGGTTTCACTGAGTGAGTTGGGTGGTTTAAACATTAGCCACTTTGGATTTTGCTCCACAGCAGTCGGGAAGAAAAAAAAAAAGGGCTTGCCTTCTCTTCAGTGTGCAACAGTTCTGCCTGACACCTTCAAACAAATTATACTTCTGGCTTACACTACAATGTTTTTTTATTCTAATCAAATTAAAGCTAAACTAATATTTGCAACATCGAAGGGGTCATGATTTTGAAAATTTGACTCATACCAGGGACAAAAAAAAATACAGGATATCTCTGCCTCTGCTGCTTTGACCTGGATCATCCTTGTTTCTATCTTGCACATTTGCAAGAGATGGTGTACACATTTAATTACAGTGGATGACTGAATTTGGCACGCACCCCGAAAGAAGAAACTATAACTGAGGCTGGCTTCAGTAAAGAGTATCTAAATATTTCACAAAGCACATACAGGACACGCAGAGTCGGCAGGCAGATGACAGGCAGGCAGGTTGGGTTGAGGAGCGGGGGGCTTTGTGTGTCGTGGCTGATGTGATTGCAGGCGGAGCAGGGCCACACCTCAGCCAAGGTTATCGCCAAGACTCAGGGAGGAGACAGAGATCCCCTTTGTGGTTCACAGCCACTCGCTTACATGACTGTCATACCACAAGACGTTTGCGTGGAAGATGAGAGCAGCCGAGCGTAGTGAGCTGACAGAATCAGGCAGAGAGGAAGAGAGGGGAAGAGGCAAGCAGGGGAGAAAGGGAAGCCGAGGGAGATAGAAACAAAGAGAGAGGGAGAGAGAGGGATTCAGAGGAAATGAGTGGGAGGTGGGAGCAGAAAGTGGCAGACTTATACTGTAGATCTCGGTGGTATGTTTTCAAAGTGCCGAATGACACTTCCTATCACTATGTCGAGGGAAGTGGAGCGTGTCAGCTCCGGTGCTCTCTCACCCCATCTTGCATGCAGAGCAATTACCACTGGCACATACACCCCCACCCACAACACCACCTCAAATCCCCCCCCCCCCCCTGCAATTCAGTGAAATCAGCCAGCAGACCTGTGACTCATCATTTAGAGTAATAGTCCTGTCCTGTATTGGCCTCAGGAGTCTCAGTGCCTGGTGGAGGCTTAAGGAGAATAGAGAAATGACTAAACAGAACAAAGTTGATTCATTACAGGGGGAAGGACATCATAGAAATCCCCTCACCTTTTCATCTCACACCGATTAGTGTGGATCAGAAAGGCGGCATTTTAATATAATTCAAAAGCTGTAGTTGGCTTTTTCTACCCTGGAAGACGTTCATTGCAGCCAGCTTTCCACTGTTTGGCACAGAGCAGATCCACAGCAATGACTACACCTTGCTTTGTTTGCTTCCAGCCTTTGGACAGCAAAGTATAAAATTAGCTTTTTGCTCCAAATGCTAAATGACTGTGTATTTGGTGTGATTAATCTATTTAAAGAGAAATGGAACTGAGGCGTGTCTGAAAAGCTGTATTGCCAGTGTGTGCTACAAAAACCATTGTTTCACCAGCCCTGTGATTTGCACTAAAGGGGTCGCAGCAGGTTGCCATGGCAACCTTTCAGTATAGATGGCCTGTTTCTTTTCCAATTGCGGTGATCATCAGCATCATTGGAGGCGCATCATTAGCAGGGAGCCCCCGGGGCTGTGTGATCAGTGCCTGGCCAGGACATTAGAGAGTGTGGAGAGAATGATAGACAGGATTTGGCCTTTATCATCTGCAGGGTGCAGCAGGGCTGAGCCCTGACAAGACAAACCTCCATGGGCTCCTTCGTACTCGGGTATTTTTTCCCCCCACGGTGTGCTGAGCTTGCCTCTGCATCTGTTGCCTTCAGCCCTGCTTGTCTCTTAGGCAACAACAAAGCCCTCGCCGCGTTGATCTCTTCACTGTTGTCGTGTCAACACAGGTAATGATTGTATCATACCTATTTCCAGAGGCTGTCATTCACAAGGCTCCTCTGCTCTCCGACATGCTTAAGGGGCTCTCGTTCACGGCTCTGTGCAAATGGATGAAAACACACAACTGTGGAGCAGCAGCCCTCATCCCCGGCTCACACATTTGACACTGTTCAGAGGCTTTAAAGACCCTCCTGAGGTAAACACTCACATGGTGGGAAGGCTGGTGTCTGAGCACAAAGATGAAACCAACTCTGACAGCCTGAGCAGCCCTTAACCCACACTGCTTACCCTGTATTCCTGCTAATACACATCTTTTCCAATGGAAATAAAGATATCAAAATACAAGCCTGAACTCCAAAGTGCTGCCATGGGGGCTTTCTACACACTGAACTTCCAGCTGTAAATGCCACACACTGAGTTCCTTAATCACAGAGGTCGTGTTGTTTCCTGGGTTTATATCAAAGTAGCAACACTGCGCATCTGCGTGTTTACACTTGTGTGTGAAAGGTGCAGTTACCCCCACCCCTATCTGCTGTAAACTGACATTCAAATAAAAGGTGGATAGCAGAGAAGTGGAAAATGGTTACATAAGTGTTTACATTTCCTTTTTCTCTGACGCTCTCTCCATCAAACGCACACATTCAGAGGTGTGAAGCTAGTGATGAGCTGTACTAACCAAAGTGGTGTGAATCATCTGCTCTCCTCAACCAGATCATGACAGCTCGTATGCCCTCCAGTTTTAACAAATGTGCAGGACCATTTTTTCTGCCCTTCAAGTCACAAAAATGTCCTCTATCCATAATTCCTCTTTCCAATGGACAGTTCTTGTAAGTATAACTAGAAGTTGAGCCCAGAGATGGAGTGATCTCCTGGCCAAAGGAACCAGCATTGCCCATCTGTTCATCTCTCGGCCCTCTCTTCCACCTCACCTCCCTTGTCTCACTCATTTAGTGGTGAATGTGGACCGGCCACCGAGTGCCAGTGGAGAGGGGAGACGCAGGGTGTGCACTGAACAGCAGATGGGAAATTTCAATGAGGTGGAAAATCCAGAGTAGTGGCGAACCTTCTTCTGAGAGGGTTCAGGGTGATACTGATACAACAGTGCCCCCCTGTGGAGAAATACAAATCTGCATTCACTTCTTTCGGCAAGCAACTGAAGTTTTTTAAATTGAGTGCATTTTACTGATTCAGAAAGTGAGTTTGGAAAGGGACAGGACTAACGGATAAATGTTTATAAAGTGTTGGGTGGCTGGGTTAATCCTCAGCTCCTCTGCCTCACTCAGCTGACATATCTGCCAGTCAGCAGCCAGCCAGGCCAAGCAGTCAGTGCTGAAAGGGGCTTTCTAGTCTCTAGTGCACTCCTCAGACTGTCTACAGGCAAGATGCTTAAAATGCAAGATCAAGTGCCTGCTGAACCGAAACTTTTACTGAAGATCTACAGCAGCCTTTGACACCAATTTCTGTTTTGTCAGGTGTTTTTGTGCAACTGAAACTGAATAGTTTAGGTCCTGCCTCCCTCCAGAACTTCGCTATCAATACAACACCGAGAGATACTGGTGTACTAGGCTGCAAAGAACAGATCTGTGCTATAACAAAACCAGGGAGTGTGTTATAAGAATTCACGAGATGTCCAAGTACTTACAATGGATTTAATGGAAAAAAAAAAAATCAAAGGAAAAAAGATGAATTTGTGTATAAAAACAAAACACTTTATTACAATTAGGCTGAAAAAACCCAATGAAAACACGACTACTTTACAAGTACAAATGTTTTTGTTGATATTTACAGTTTTTTTTCTTTGACATCAATAAAAAAAGACAATTTATGAGAAAACACAAAATACTAAAGTACATGTTTACAGTGTATTTGCTGCAATAAAAAACAAATGACTAAAGGAACGTGCATTATTCTCCATTCAGTATCTATAGACAACAAGGGAATTAGACATAAAAGGGACTATTGATGAATACACTTATTCTAATGGACAGCTCATTCCCCAATGCAGAACAACCCATAAGCCTCAGCCTCATCTGTTGAGTAAAATAATAATCATCACTTTGAGGGCATGTTGTGTCTGTCATTTGTTGGATTGGTAGCCACAGTAGCTATGGGGAATTTTTTTTAGTTGTGGTAATTTGAAGAAGCATTCCACATTTCATGAATCAAATTAACAACCGAAGTAGCATTGTTGATTCATTAATGAAAAATTATAGATCTCACCAGAATTATTGGCAGAGGTGCAGTGACTGATCTGCCAAAACAGTTTAGCTATGAGAACCGAAAATGGTCAAATGTGTTATGTTGAGTTATGCTCAGGTAAAGATGAAAGGTTTGGTGTGGTTAAGAATGTGGCAGGATGTCTGGCTCTGCCCTCAGCTGTTGTGGGATCCATAAGAATGCTTCAGCACAACTTTACTGTTACATCGGTACTGCAGGAAAACACTTTCCTTAATCCAGTTTCATTAGTGTGGCTCTCCTAGCTGTTGCCTCCACTGGGCTTGGCAGGAGTTTTGGCCCTGATACCCCCCTGGCGAGCTTGACCCTTGGTGGGCTGCTGGGGCTGAGCGGGCTGCTGCACTGGGGACTCGGCAGCAGAGGGTGCCGCTGGCTGCTGGGCGGGGCTGTGAGGAGGCGGCGTCTGGATCTGGGGTGAGGCGGCAGCAGTCACCACCTGCTGCTGGATGATCTTCTGCTGGACCTGGACCTGGGCTGTTGCCGTCCCAGTGGGAATCATCTGCACCTGAGCAGGAGCTGATGTGGCTGCCTGCGTCAGAGTCACAGTCTGAGGCTGGGCCTGGATCTGAAGGGAAACAACACAAACAAAACATTGATATCCTGTTTCAAACATTTCATGTGAAATATTCAACTGCATTTAAAAGCTTTATTGTGATTTCACAAAGAGCTCTTGATGAATTATAAATTGACAAAAAATGTCATAATCCTTTAGCCCGCTCTCCTCTGGCAGGTACTTCCACATCTAAAGGCCCACAGTGGCGTTTAATCTTAAACCTGGAATAGAAAGACTCTGCCTGAGGATGTGAGGTTTATGCGGAGGTGAAGTCTATGAAACGGCTTAGGGACAGAGTTAACCACATGTTCAAGTGATCAGCTATACAGAAAATACCTTCAGGAGCATTGCTCAGCCTAAAACCCTACCTGTGAAGACACGATTTGTTGCATATTGCCCACGGTTGGTTGTTGCTGCACTATTTGTGTGTGCTTAGCCACCTGATAAGAGAAGTAAACAAGAAAATCTCATATCAATACACAAGTCCATTGATTATGTGCAAATATTTCCTTTGCAATAGTGACTGCTGCTGATGGCGTACCGGGATTTGTTGGGTTCCCGTGGGTTTCTGAGCCTGGGGGATGGATGTAGTAAAGAACTGGGTCTTGATCCCTGGTTGGAGTTGGGTGGTGGTAGTGTAGGTCATCTTCTGCTGCTGCGGCTGGGCTGGCTGGGCTGCTTGCACTGTCACCTGCTGGGTCCCGATCTAAGGGAAATAACAAAACTAAAGGTAATACAGTAACTCAATTCACTTTATTTTCCTAATAGGATTATTTCTCAAGAACATATAAAATATAACAAAACAATATGAGAATAAAAATACACCGCGACGGTAAACACACCTGATGAATGTACATGTGTAAAATTATATATGGTTGCATCTGTTGTGGACAGAGACTGACATCATACTCCTAATAATGATCAGTTGTTAACATATGAAAATCCAGTGTCTGTTGGTGTGGTACATTTACCTTCTGCTGTACAGTGGTCTGTCCTTGCTGTGGCTGCCCTGCTTTCTGCTGGGCTGCGGCTGCTGCCTGAACTGCTGCCTGTTGCTGCTGCTGCTTCTTCATCTGAAGAAGCTGCTGGACCTGCATCTGTGGGAAGGATGGCGTCAGCACAGGCCCGCCTGATGGAGGAGAAAAAACATGACATATTGGAACATAAAGTCATAGGTTTAGGATAATGATAACAGCATATTTTGTCATAGTAACAGGATGTCACAAAAAGTACATCCAACACAGATGATAAAGACACAATCAACAACAAATACTGTTGCTTATTTTGATTTGTATGTTCACCGTCAAAGAGACCTATTAAGAATTTAAACACACCTGTTTTCTGGGCCTGACTAAGAGCCATACTAATGCCTGCTACGGTGACTGGCAGTGTAGTGACACCAGCTGATGAGACCACAGCTGGCACAGAGACCACAGGAGGCTTGGTGAGGGTCACCTGGGCTGTCTGTCCTGCTTGGGCCTGAATCTGGCCCTGAGTGGGCATTCGAGTCTGTAAAGGGACATGAAAAGAGGAACGAAGAGGACAAAGATGTACAGAGGACAATGTTATGCATGGTAGACAAAAATACAAAATGTTTGTCAATAACATGCTACTTCCTCATTTCCTCTGACATTGTTATACATCAGCAATAACCTAAGATTTATATCTGTAGGTAGACAGTTCATTAAAACATCAAATCTGATTCACATAGTGAGGATCTATAATGCAAATTTTTCAATAAGTTCCATACTTTCTTCTCAGCGGTGCAGATTCTGTATTTATGTGAAATAAAATGATCCTTTTCACAATCTTACCAGTCTGGCCACCTGCACAGTGGTGCCGGTCAGCACAGCTCCAGGTCTGGTTGCTGCCACAGCTGCTAGTTGTGGATTGGCCTGAGCGGCCTGTGCAGGCTGCACCTGGGCGGCCTGCTGGGCCCCTGCAGCCTGTTGGCCCTGAGCTACTGCTGCAACTGCTGCAGCTACCTGCTGCTGCTGCTGCTGCAGCTGCAACTTATGCTTGTGCATCTTCAACAACTCCTAGAAACACACAGATTACCTGTTAAAGATATGTTAAGTACACACACGTTGTTATAATAACCCTTACATGATTTCTCTGCACCAACTTTCTAACAAAGAACATCTCAGTTACAGCTGCTAATATGTCAGATGTAACCAACATTTTTGTCCTGACTGTGTAAAGTCGCTGGTGGTGGTGTACCTGGGATTTGGGTCCAGCTTTGATCTGTGAGGAAGCAGCCTGCTGTTGCTGTTGTTGCTGCTGCTGTTGTTGGTGCTGCTGCAGCTGTTGCTGTCGGAGCATCTGTAGGTGGGCCGGAGTGAGAGGCTTTCCTTGTGGCAATTGCATACCTGTGGCTGGATAGGGGACAGATAAGTCAGTTCTGTAAAACAGCAATGAGTACTTGAGGGTTGTCTTATCAGAGAAAAGCTTGTGCTCAGTTCAGTACCTGGTGTGACCTGAGTGACCAGTGGGCGAGTCTGTGATTGCACTGGGCTCAGGGTGGTAGAAACTACTGCAGATGCCGTCACTGGGGTAACAGCTCGAACACCCTGCCCTGTAGCTATTGCGACCACTTCAGCAGGGGCAGCAGCAGCCGTAACGGCCCTCTGTTGTGCATGAACCACAGCTCCAGCTGCACCTGCAGGCTGGACCAACAACAATAACAGTCACACAATGAGCAAAGGCTCCAACACTTGCAATGATCACCCTGTCTACAGGGTGCAGTGGGTGTGCGTTCTGTTTCACGCCATTTCAAAGGCTATTTGCATCATGAATTCCTGTTAGTCAGTAGGTGGCTGAGTTCAGCCAGAGCAGCAGTGATAAATGAGCATGACTCACAGACAGGGTGCCTGGTATGACTGAAGATGCCAGGCGTTTGTTGGCCTGGAAGGGACTTGGAGGAACTCCAGCCACTGTGTTCACAATCACATTCCCCCCGACAGCGGCTGGAAGAAACAAAGAAATGAATTAACTACTGGAATAACAACAGCTCTGTAATGTGAACCATGAGTATTTACGTACCAGCCTGGATGGTTGTGCCCACAGTGACATTTTTTATAGCTCCAGCCTGAAAAACATGTTTAAGAGCCGTCACTAGGTACAGTAGCTTCTTTTGAATCTCACTATGTGTAGATGCATATTGATGGAGGACATTTTGATTCTCACCAGAACAGCTGCATTAGGCACGGCAGCAGCTCCAGCCACAGCAGCAGCCTGAGGGACTTGAGCCTGAGCTGCAGCAGGAGCCTGGGCCTGGCCGGGTGTAGCCTGGGTCTGGGGAGCTCCGGTCTGCTGCTGCTGGGCCAACTGCTGAGCCTTCTGCTGCTCTGCAAGGGCCTGCAAATACAATGCACAAAATCAAAACACAAATGCACACTGCAGCACCTTTGGATCTGACAGTGACGGAACAAAAAGCAGGTGCTCCTGATTTATGTTTCTACCGACTCTGAGGAAGAACAGGGCAAGTCGATACGTGTTGGTCTTGTTTTTAACCTTTTAGTCTTGGTTTTTAACTTTTGTACATTAAAAACCAATGCGCCTGGACTCTTTGGGAAGATCCATTCCTTTTATTGTACACAGTACATGTCAGCACACATATTGGGACATACCAGCATAAATGTACTTGAATGGGACAGTTGCAGTGTGAGAGAGACTATTTATACCTTGGCATAACAGAAGTATGCAGGTTGTCACTCCAAGTGAAGACTACAACAGATTTCTCTGATTAGCTGTGTAAACACTCAAACCAAACGCTATCTTTGTTTGTTGAAATAAGACCTGCATACTCCAAGGACGGCATAGCACATGGTTAAACATACACATTTGCAAGCAGTTGTTGGCACACTGCCGACAATCACCTTTTTCTCCTTGGCAATCCTTTCAGCACGCTGAGATGCCACCTGAATGGGAGGTAGGGGCTTGTCATAGCTGATCCCACTGAGGAGAAGAAAAACAGATGTTAGAATTTTCTCTTTATTTCTAGATTTAAATGAGGTTTAGATGGCATTAGCACAGAAATGGCAACATTAAACACACCTTTCTGCCAAGACTGATGCATGTTTAGGATTCTTCTGGAATGGATTCATGCCGAGCCTGTAAATAGTGTAAATTAATTGTATAATAATTTCATTTTTGTTAAGACAGAAAATCATGTTACTGCCGTGCAATAACACAATGATTCATGCACATTTTCAAGATCAACCAAAGATCACATTGTACTGAATTACTCAACTGTTTTACACTGTTTTGTAAATCTCCTGTTTGGGTGTTGGCTCCTTGACAAGACTAACACATTCATTGTAAACAGACAATCAGCAGAGTGCTTACAACGGTTTGATTGGTGGGCTCCTCTTGCTGGCGATGATCTTCATGAGTTCAAAGCGGCTGTTGTACAGCTGAATATGAGTGGCATTGTCATCCTGTGTGTAGATCTGACAGGTCCTTAGAGGACGACTGTTCTTAGACTGTGTACACACGCACATGATGCAAAGAAAACACAGAACAAAAGTGAGGCCAGGAAATCACAGCAAAGAAAAGTTTATCAAATACAAAGACCAGGATAAGCTACCTTGTATATACTCTTAGTTTTCTTCTTGGGGTTTGCCTCGTATACCAACTGAAAAAAGTTTTAAGAATTGGTTTAGACAAAAAGAACAAGGTAAGTAAGCTATTTTTACAGCAAAAGCAGGATGACTCTGTGTTCATTACCTTGCCCTCCTCTCTGGGAATGATCACATTCTCGTAGCGGTTGCGACACTGTTTGGGCGAGCGATAGATGCGGCTGCAGGAGTTCACCACATCACTCACCAGATCCCAGTTAGGAGTGTGAGCAGGGGACACAATTGTCAGGTTCAGCGGCAACTCAAGCAGCTGCTTTACAGCCTGTCAGACACAAAAGTGTGATATTTGGATGCTGAATATTCTATGACTTCACCAAGTTACATACAGTTCAATAGATTTATTAATCTCTGTTAACACAAGTTGGAAGGGCACTGTATAGTACCTGAAGCAGAGCCCAGTCCTCACTGATGAGCCACTCTGGGTTGTCCTGACCGGCCTCCATGGCAGGTTTAACCAGCGAGGGTAAGGGTTTGGCAAAGGGTGCCTGCTGCTTGAGGGAGAAGTTCTTTTTCTGGTCCTTGCCCTCGCGTCGAACTTTCAACATGCTGGCCTTTTCGAAAAGGGAGCGTGGAGGAATGACTGTCTCCCCATGGCCCTTCTTCTTCTTTCTGGCTGCTGCTGAGCAAACACAGTTGAGTAAGGACAGAGATACCAAACAAACAGCATGTATTTATTCTTAGAAATCCTTTTCAAACTCTGTTCCTTAAAATACACACTGACTCCTCGACTCACACCAACAATTCCTTGTGTAAAAGCAGAAAAAATACTACTTAGAGCAACAATAAACAGTCTCAATACAGTAGATGTATATGTAACTAAAATATATAACCACAGCCAGGGCAGGACTGGCATATTGTTGCACAACAGAGTTAATGAAGCACTTAATGACAAATTTTCTCTCACATGAGGGGTCCATCTTGAGTCTCTTGTGCTCCTTGCGGATATAAATAGGGGGCAGCTTGGACTCTGGCATTGGTGTGGTGTCATACATCAGCATCATTACAGAGTCGATGTAAATGTCATTGTCATCCTGTGGTGGTGTGGGAGGAGTCCAAAGCTGTGCCAGAAGACAGAGCAGGACTTTATGATGTGCCTCAAAACAAATCAGGAACAGGATAGGGAAGATCCAAATTCTGCACAAACCCATATTTTTCCAGTTACATCACATTTGCTGTCTTACCGGCATGATTTCTGTATGGCCATCCTCTGCATCAAATACATACTCCTGTTGAAGTGCAGAGAAAATGTCATGTCAATAACAGTGTGACATAGTCCACACACCACTTCTTGTTTCATTAGCAGAGATCTCAATGACCACCCACCATGTTGTAGGCATCCTCTCTTGTGTAGGTGAAGAGATCTTCATCTCCCTCCATAATCTGCCGCTCCTCCTCCTCCTCCTTCAGCTTCTGCAGCTGCTGCAGCTCCCAGCCTCTCTTAGAGCACTCCAACCGCTCCTGAGGAAAATAAACACACAGCATTAATCAATCTGTCAAATTTATCAAAGAACAAATTGTACACTGAAATGCCAACATAGAGCTGAAATGATTAGTCGATTAATGGACTGATTTCCACATCTAAACAAAATAAAATATAAATATACAGCCCAAATAGTCAAAAATGTTTCTTTGGTTACATTACAGTTTCACTTACTTTGAGAGCAGTTTCATCATCACTGATGTGGAGGTACTCAAGGTAATGCAGGGCATACCTTTCGATTGGTGTGAGCTGTTTGAGGGAAGAGTAAATGCAGATATAAACTCATCAAGACAAAACAAAAAAACAACAGCATTTAATTTTATTCTAATTTATTTGTTGTATTTGTGCTTTTCTGCCTCTATCAGCTCCCAAACATATATAGAAAAGGTGAAGCTACCTGTTCCATGACAGCATTAAGCTCCTCTATCTGAGCAGGCTCTTCTTTAGTTTGGCTCTCTGACTCCTGGTTGTTTTCTGCTGACTCTTTGCCTGCTAACTCCTCATCCTCCTGCTGCCGCTGCTCCTTCTCTTCTGGTGGGGCATCCAGATTTATACTGTGGAGAGCCTGAATGTAGGGTCTGGCCACTCTGGGAGAAATGGCTTCAGAGGCCGATGGCTCCTGGTGAAGAACCACAAACTCCTCGACCTTCTCCCCTGATCCTGCCTCCACTTCAAACAGATCCTGGATTGTCCGCTAGAAACACACAATATCAGGTCAGTTACTTTATATCCCAGATTGAATAAAACTATAGTAATGGGTCTTGATTCCACATGTGGCGAAAATGACATCATTGATTCAAGCGCGAAAGTTTTCATAGTTTGAATAAATGTAACTTTAAACATTTTGAAAGGATGGAGGTGTGTAGAGTTTCTGAAACTACAAGACAAGACCACAGTGAGTTAATCTTACTTGTGTGAGGAAAGCCAAGGTGTAGTCAGTACCCTGGGCAGCCACCTCTCTGATCAGGTCCTTGGTGCCGTTCTTCAGCAACTTCTCTTCAATGGAGTTCCCACTCTCCAACCTGGGTAACACACAAAAAGTAACTAATTGTAGCTCCAAAGTCCTTCAGTAACAATTAGATAGATAAATGACTTTAAAATTAAAATTAAAATGTCATAGCAGTCGAGTTAAAATACAATACAGTAAAATTCAAGACAAAAGACAAAAATACACAGGATTCAACTATACAATAAAAATGAGAGATAAATAAATATAAATTAATTATAGTATATGTATATGGACCAAAGTGCGAGGGAGTGAGTGCAAGGGTGTGTGGATAAATCAGAAAGATGCATTATAGTCCGATTGCAATAGGCAGGAATGACTTCCTATAACGTTCCCTAACACAGAGGGGTTGTGTGAGTCTGTTGCTGAATGTGCCCTTAAGTTTGTCCAGGAGTAAAAGGTACATCTCATGTTTCACCTGGGATACAAAAATAACGTACCAAAAGTATTTTATTACTACTAGTAAAATACAAAATCAGATTTCCCTGTATTAATAATATCACCTGTATATGTGTATATCCTTGGAACGTCCAATTTTGTCACACCACTCCTGTGTGCGGGCATCCATGCTGGGATTGAGGTCTGTGTCATAGAAGATGATGGTGTCTGCATCAAACACAGTCCCAACTGCGGAGCAGCAGCGATTGGTCAGGATGCTGCAGAACACCTGCCTGTTCCTGTTAAACTTCTTCATACTCTCCTGCAGGGAAACAACACCAAGCATTTGAACACACTGGAACAAAGGCCAAGAAATTTATTTAATTCTTTTTTGTTTGCTTATCTCAGCTGTTTGTAGCAAACTGGTTTTTCAACTTTTTCCCTTGTACATTATCTGTACATTATCTTCATCTTAATTTAGATGGAATAGTTAAATTCCCCACAGGCCTATTGCAGTTTCAACTTCTCTTTATTATCCATTTTGATGTGACTGCCGTGGCCAATTAGTTGTCTGTATCTTCATTTTCTTACAGCAACACAAGGTCTAATTAAGTGACCCAGAAAACACAAAGGATTACATAATATACAATAGATGAAACAAAATCAGGGCAGGATCATGTAAAATTTCAATGTGATAGTTAATGCAGAGAAAGAACCCTTACACTTAAGTATGCAGCTTCAAATAGAAAAGACTTAAACCAATGAGCCCAGACTGACTAACTAATGTCTGCATCTCTTAAGGCCCCAGAAGGAACAGAGTCCAGCAGGGAGGGAAGAGAGCAAGACAGTTAGTTCCCTGTTGAGCCAGAACTGGCATTGGGAGGTCCTGTTGTTAGACAGGGAGGAACACAAAGGTATTGATGTCTATGAAAGAGTAAAAACTTCAATCTAAAATGAGTGGACCAGTCCATACCAGTTGACTTTAACGCTGACTGATGACTGAAGGTAAGGCTATGTGACATGTGACCTATTCTTGGGTCTCAAATGACTTTGCTATCATATAACATAACAAAACACTTGACCTTCGTGTTTGCTAGACAAAGAATAAAGAGTCTTAAGAACTTCCTTTAGAAGAAGAAAGATAGATAATCTAAATACACTCTTGCCAGTCATAGCACATGCTTGCCTACTACAGGACAACTATTATAACTAGCTCCTGTGCTCTATGACAAGCTCATATTATATTTATCATTTCCAGTGTCACAACGGCACATTTTTGATGTTGGTAACACTGACTTTATTGAATCTAAGAGGGTTGAAGTATGGCATGCCATAACCAATATAAATGTTGTTGATTTTACCTGTCGTTCATCAGCAGTGAAGCTTTCATCAAGCCGCACATAAGTGAGCTTCCTGTAATCTAGGAAGGCCTCCAGGATGTCTAACATCTTCACCATCTGAGTAAAGATGAGGACACGGCGGCTCTCTGACCTAAGCTTCTGCAACAGAATGGCAAGAGCTTCCAGTTTGCCTTTGGAAAAGAGAAATAACAAAAGTTATTATGTTTCAGTGAGTTTACCTCAGTTACAGGTTTATTTTAGTTGTATAGTAACAGTTACTATGTTTCCTACAATAGGAGCAGGACAGCCATTTAGCAAATTAACAGGTGAATTTTGCTCTGTAACTGCAGCAGCATTTTTTTCTCTTTTTTTTTTAAACAGTATTTACCTTGAACAAGAGTACTGTCTGATTATGGAAAAAAGTGATGTCAGCACTGTTTCTTTTAAATTATACTTAAATATTGTGAACACACGTCACTGTATTTACTGTGCCTTGAGGATGGTTGTGTATGAAGAGTGAATTCTTCTCTTTCTGAAGAAAGGAATACTAAGCAAAATGTGGAATGAGATTCTCTAGGCAGAAGGATTAAAGTTAAAAAAATATCCAAAAATGTGATGGGCTAACCTGAGTCCATCTGCATTAGCTTCAGGTCAGGAAAATGTAAGAGACGCCTGGATGCCAAGTGGTGGATGTCAGCACTGTGGGGAGCAGAGGCCTCTTGTAGCCGACAACGAAGAGACTTCTGCTCAAGGCTGTAGGGAACAGGGGGATTGGCTGCATACAGGTGAGGAGGTGGTGCGACAGCTGGAGGCACCACACATACCAGCCTAAAAGATGACAATAGTAGTCATAGTCATTAATTGGATTAAGAAATAAGACATATGCAATTTTATTTTGATAAAAGCCTCTAAAGTAAGTGGTTATTTTCTTTTACAAAATCATGGTAGAGATTGTGTTTATTCTTAATACAGCATAAAAAGTGTTTAACCAAACCAATCCCTTCTAACAATGTGGGTAGTAAATGACCATAACCACAATGCATGAATGTATATGGTATTTTCTGTTGGTTTGAAACAACGTGCAGTGTAGAATAGAGGGGACTGAAGTACCTCTTGATAAGGCTGTTGGCAGCCTCTAGGCGGTCTTCCACAGAGAGCAGAGTGGACTGCAGTGTAGAGGTGGTAGCCACACAGGTTCTCTGAGCCCTGAGGCAGCTCTCTCTGCCCACCCACCTCCAGCCTCCAGCTGTCAGGGCAGAGTGACCAGGCTCTGAGCTCAAAGTGCATGCCTGCAGCAGGTCTGACCCATACAACACTCTGCGGCTGCAGCGTCGCTCATTTGCTTCAAACAGGCGGCTCAAACGCTCCTTCAGCTGCTGAGTCTTTTCCTCTGAAGACTCCTGAACATTAAGGTGAGAGATGGACCACAATTAAAAAAAAAAGAAAAAGAAAAGAAAAAATTCAGTCTGCATGCTGTAAAATGCTTTGATAGTGAAAATTTTCATTATTAAGTAATGTACTTACTTGAGAACCAGCATGAGCTGCAGTAGTAAGCTTGGTGGGGGCTGATGTGGCATTTGTAGTCACACCTGATGCTTAAAAAAACAGACCAGGGTTATTGTGAATGTCAATATCAGTTCTATTGTAAAGGAAAATAGGTTTAATAGTGGGGACAAAGAAGCATTTTATGTCCCACAAGAATATATTAACTTAAGTGTTATAATAATGAATTGGTACAGGATGATGAGACTCAATGACTGATTTAGAGAGTTAATCAGAGATAATAATGCAATATCTGCACTGTGAGTGAGTCACCTTGTTGGGCTGTTGTCATGGCAGGATGAGGTGTGCCAGGTGAAGATGAGGCATTGGAGGCAGGAACAGCTTGCGGTATTGTTTGCATTACCATGGATCCCTGGGGCCTGATGATCTGCTGCCCTGGAGCTGACACAATCTGCAGAATGTTTCCTAAATACATGACACAAAGCAACCAATATAAGAGGTGCCCTCTCAAAACCTAACACTAGTAAGAATGGTATTAAAGACCCACTTGGGGGTTTAAATAAACAAATAATGCAAATGCAAAAATGCAAAATAAAAGCAACTATCATGCTATTAGAAAGTTGCAGATTTAATATTAGATGGCAAGGAAAAAACAGCTGTACATCAAACAACAATAAAACTAAACATTTTTAACTGTAGTCAAGATATATTTGATTCCTTGGGCGTTTGTCATTTAGGACGTATTAAAAGGGGATAAAAGAAAGACAGGAAACATAGGGAGAGAGGAGGATGTCATGAAAAAAAGTTCCCCTGCCAGAATCAAACCAGGGATACTGCAATTACAAGTGTTAGGCTACCAGGACGCTTCTGATGCCTTGAAAACTTGAGTAGAATTCATAATTTGATATAAATGTCTAAAAACGAATACAACCTATGTGATACTTCTCAAAAAGCAGGTGAATTACATGGAAATGTCCAAACGACACAACGGAAAGAATGAAGAGAAAAAGTATGACAATGGGATGTACATTACCGAGTGTACCTTGGAGCTGCAAGGGCTGTCCAGTTGTGAGCTGGCGGAGCTGGCTGGGGGACAAAGTGAACTTGTTGCCCTGAAACTGCAGAGTGACAGGTGTCTCTGGCTGCGAGATACGATTCTGACTGCCTGCTATATTGGCCAGCTGGGCAATCTTCACCACATCTCCACCTTTAAAAGGGAAGGAAGAGCAGACACTTGGTCAGTTAGCATTAAAATGGTCAACTGAAATAACTCGCATTTCCACAATAACAAAAACAATGTACTTAGCATCAGTTAGTTAAAGGGTGAAAAAAAGACAAACATGCAGAACCAGGGTGGATTAATCAGTGGAATGAGCACAGCTGCCCTCCACAACAGAACAATAGCAGCTCCTACTTTTACAAACCCTGAAGGGGAAAGAAAACAGGTATACGGGCAGTCCTCAGGTGAGACAGAGAGCCTGAAACACACACATACAAATGGCACTGCACTTGACTGCCTTTTCAAACCAACACACTGCTCACCATGAAGAATGTGAAGGGATTGGTGCAAAAAATTATATTCTGTCAATTCAGTCTTCAAAAAGTATCTATCATTACATTTATATTTTTTCATAATTTTCCTTAATATGAATTTTTGAATAATGGATTTAACCTTTTCAGCCATTTCTCTTTCTATTTATGTTTAAAATTTACAGAGACCACCAGCTATTAGAGACAAATTATTTGAGAATTTTTGCGCACAAATTAGTAAATGTGATGACAACACATTTTGCTGTGTAAATACAGTGACAATACACACAATTAAAGGCTTCAGGCTATCACAACCAAAATCCTTCAAGTGTACTTCACATATGGACATACTTTGGATTGTGATTGTTAAACAACACCATTATTTTTGACAGCCCATTATAGATTGTTTCTGTTAATTCATAAAAACAAGTTACTAATTGAATAAAGTTATTTACAAGGTCCAAATGGGTAATTAGTGGGCACAAGACATAAGTGTGCATCAATCATTAAGTTATATTTAAAACCTGTTTACTTCAAGATTCATATTCAAAGTGTTTCAGCAATCTTGCTTCCAAGCCACAAAGTTGGAATTTTTGAAATAATAAAAACCAATAGGATAATTTTCAAAAATGTTTTCCCTTTTTTTATATTCAAATACTGTGTGTTGTTATTGAAAAGGTTTCTCTGTTCACATTTGAGGGAGAAAGGGTTGGCAAAATTGTGGGACCATTTCCACATGCTTTAAAGTGATGCTCAAAACCAGAGTGAAATCATAACATTAGCAAAAAAAAAAAAAATGAAACAACCAAAGCTTTGGGATTTCTTCCTGCAGCTGGGCTGATGCAAGAGACAAAAGAATATTAGTACACTGGGGAAAAAAAGGATTAAAAGAAGAGGGGGCATAATAATCAAGTTAAATAGTGTTGTGATGTGTAGTGTAACATAAGTGGGTTGTTCATAGTGTACATGCAGGTTTTGAGAAAGAAACCGGGGAATGCCGAGGCTGTGGAGATGCTGCTGATATGGCTGATATTGTACAGATACAAATTATGGGTCCTTTTTTTTTTTTTTTTTTGACTATGAGATGTATAGCTACTGATACATGACATCTCTGCCATAACCAAAATTGCTGCACCACAGTGCCAGTACACATTTGAGTCTATGTACAAAACCATTTTTCTGGAGAAGTAAAGACTGAACACATATCAGCAGTGCCCCAAGTAAAGGCCTCAGTGTAGAGCAGCCTGTACTGTTGTGCCAGAGGTGGAGGGGAAATGCTGAGAGTGAGGGGAGGGGAGGCCACTTACTAGGCAACCGTGCCTGGGCCTGGGATGTAAGAACCAGCCTCTGGGACAGTAAGCTGGGCTGGATGGCATGGCTGGGGGCTAGAGCTGGCCTGGGGACCTGTGCTAATCCAGGCTGGCTGATGGGAGCTATGGATCCCACAACTGGGCCAGCTAAGGTCTGGCCCAAGGCCACAGGGGCAGCCCCCAACACATGCTGCCCAATGCCACTGTTCCCAGAGGAGGCTACAGTGGAGGCGGCAGTGTTGCTGCTGCTGCTGACAGGAAGGGTAGTCTGGGCTCTCTGAGTAGCCGTTCCAACCGCTGTGAAGTACAAGGCAATGGGGTATGGCACTACATGTTAGGGGTAACCTGATATTCAGTCAAATCATCAGTATGATCAAACAGTTTTCTCTGTATATTCACTCAGCAGTGGTGGGCCAACACAGCAAGCAGGGTCTGGGATGTTATTGATTAATCACCGATAGATCAATCACTTCTAATATTTTGATTGATGAAAAAATAATAACCTGACAATGAACAAAGTTGGTGCGACAGTAATTGTGTATGTATGGAACCCAAGTTCCCTCTTTGTGGGTGTTTTCAGTGGCAATCAAATTTAACCCAACAGTTTTTTTGGAGACAAGTTGACTATGGCTGTTGTCACTGAGGATCAAGGCTAGGAGTCTCTAAATGACATAGTAGTCACTAAAGACAAAGACCTAGGGCATGGGAAGCTGTAGCTTTGTTGCAATAAAAGCCTTACATTTAGACTTACCCTAATGGCTGTGCTGCCATGAGGGGAAAATGTGCCCAGCCCACCATTGCTGCATGGAAGTACAAATGTACACATGTACACATATGAAACCTCTGTGACCTGTGAAACTTGTCAGTAAAGCTGTCCCAAACCTCTCCATAAAGTTTTAGTTGTAGGAGGAGGACCTGACCTGTGCATACATTTGTACACATTGTATATGTTTCTAAAATGTGCTACAAATACTGGCGACAACAATTCATGGTAGAATGGGCACAGCGTAATTGAGTTTTTTTTACACATGGCAGTCAGATTCATTTAAACCCAAAACAGTGTCACAATCATGCAGCATAACATCGCATAATGCACACATCACAAGGTTAAAACTAGTATAAGCACACATGGTAACGGCATCAACAAAATGGCTATGAGTGGTTAATTTGTCTTTTAAAGTTTGATGTTAGATGACACCATCTGGAATCCCTTAGCTACTGTCAAAACAAAACTTTACTGATTACTGTCCCTGAAATGGTCTTACCATGAGAAGTGGCTGTAGTAGTTGCAGTAGTGACAGGGGACTTGCCCCTGCTCTGGGCTGACTGGCTGGTGGTGGATGCAGGTGCACTAGTAGTAGCAGGGGAGCTCGGTGGACGCTGGCCTGCTGTGCTTGTGATGGCAGCCAGGCGACCTTCTGGCTTTGTCCCATACTGCACTGGCTGGAACAATCTAATCACAAAGAAAAATGATCATGTTATGTCAATGTCAGAATATCAATATTACAATATCAGGCTTGCATTTTAGCAATTTGAAAATGTCAGAAAATCTCCACATTAATCATGTCATGTTACTTGGATATTTGCAGACTGTATTACTGACCTCATGGGTTTTATCGGGCATTGTTTGGGTCGTGGTGGTGGATCTGGACCCGTGTAGATCTCCTCTATGAGCTGCTGAGTGACCTTCAGTTTGGGTACCACCTCTTCAGTTTGATACCGAGTCAGTGTGTTCTCATTATTGATCAGATTAAATATGGACATGTTTGCAATCTAGGAGGATAATGAGATAAAAGACAACAGCAACAGAAATGGATCAGTGCAGATTTCTGATGAACATTTTCTTTTTCTTTTTTTTTTTTTACTAATAACCACATCTAACCAAAACGCACATGCACTCGATCCAAAATTAAGACAAAGGAACCGCATAATATTTGTGTCTCAAACAAGAAGCGACATGCAAACAAATAGAACATAAAAGGACTAGAAAGGACAGTGTATTGAACCTCAAAGAAAACCAGTATTACTTTTATTATCAATTAGTGGATCAATTTTTAATTCTATCAACCACTAAGCCTTTAAAAAGTAAAAGAAAAAGAGAAGACTAACGCCAGGGTTGCCAGAGCCCAAAACTATGTCTTAATGTTTTCTATTTTGTCCATCAAATGATCCTAATGACCCGTTGTACATACAGGCAGGTGACAGATTAAAGAAAAAACAACACAGAGAGTCTTAGTAAGGTAGTGGCCCGTCATGTGCCATCAGAACAGCTTCAATGCTCCTTTGCATTGATTCTATTAGTCACTGTAAGTCTATTGGAGGGATGAACACCATTCTTCCTAAAGATATTCCCTCATTTGTTGTTTTGATGGAGGAGGAGGTGGAGGAGAGTGCAAAATATCTTTACATTTAAGCAGCAACCAAATTCTTTGTATTTGTACTCATTTTTTGTACATATTACTAAATCAATTATTCAGTTAAAAAATGGCCAGCAATTAAGTTCCTGTTAATCAACAGATTTATCTTTTTTGTACTCATATTCAGGGCATTTCCAAACTACATTGTGAGCACATAACTTTTGAGTTTAGACAGTTAAACAGAGTTAGCAAACAGCCTTGGTGCACATCAGCAATTCAAAGCACAAGCATATACCTTGGACGGGTCATTCTGAAGAGCTCCCAGCACCAGTGATGGGACATTGTATTGCAGAGAGGAGCAGAAGTAGGAGCTGCTGGTCTCTCTGGGCGCCACCAGCTCAGGGTGGTTACATACTCGCTGTAACTGCATCAAGACCTGAAGCACACTGACAAAATGGCCTGTCTTCAGTGCTTCCTGAGCTCTATGAGAGCACACCCAAACAGAAGACATGATTATGAAAAACAGTTCACAACAAAAGACAGAAGCAACAAATATTCCTACACATTACTCAGTGCCCGTAAGTAAGAGCAACCTTACTTTGATAACTCAATGTGACTAAGCATTTGGAGCAAATATCTCACCCTGGTTGAGTGAGGATATCCTCATAAAGGCTCTTCTGTCTACTGGAGAGACGGCACTTTAGGATGTGCTCATATTTCTTGGGCAGCTGTTTTTCCACATCCCTTTTGGAGCGTCTCAGGATGAAAGGCTGGATCATCTATAGTTAAGAATGAGACCATTTCATATCTAATATGCATTTGATGATCGCTTGTGAAGCAAATCAATCATGTTTATGAATTTGAATGTGTTGTAATGTTTAAAATTTAATAGACAGAGGAGTTTGCTGGTGCTATACCCACCCTGTGCAGGCGGATGACCAGTTTGTGGCAGTAGTCCTGGTTCTGGTCTGTGCCTGCCTTAACAGGAAAGTCAGAGTAGGGCCTGGTGATTCCTGGCAAAAGGAAGTGGATCATGGTCCACAGCTCCTTTAGAGTATTCTGTAGAGGAGTGTTGATAAGGAGAATCCTCTGCTCACTGGAAGATATAAAAGCATCATGTCAGAATATTAAAAGTAAAAGACAAAAATGCCTGATATGAAAATGATATCATCAGTGAAATTTTTCACACATATGCACATGCATACACTCCCTAAGTGCTGTGATCAGGAATGCACAAAAGCATGTTACCAATGATCCACTTTACAGATTACAAATAAATTAAAAACTTCTTGAGCAACTTAAATTAATACAATAGTTAATCACCCAGCTCACCTTCTGAGGGCAAAGACTGTTTCCCAGTGTTTCTCAGTCATGTTTTTTATGAGCTGCACTTCATCCAGGACCAGGTGCCTCCACCTTCTCCTAAGAAAATGGCTCTGGTCTTTCATCAGCAGCTTGTAGGATGTCACACATACATGGAAGCTGTTGGCTTCCCCCCACCACTGTAGATCAGTGATCAGATGATATGTCATTTAAAAAAATGGCCTCCTATATTGATAATGTCATCACTATGAGTTGTTTAAATACAGCAAAAAGTACCATTCGCTTAGATCTGCGCTCCCTTCTGTTGCCAAGGTACAGGAGAATCTTAAGGCCAGGGCACCAGCGCTTGAATTCCACCTCCCAACTTAGCAACTTGGATGTCCTTACTACAATAAGGTGGGGTCCCCAGATACCTGTGGAGAAAAATATTCAATATTAAATAAAACAGAAATATTCACTATTTAAAAAACAAATCACATATATCTTTGGGCAGAGGCATACCCTCTTGGCCAGCTAAGTGGGCCATGTAAGCCACTGTCTGTACAGTCTTGCCAAGACCCGTCTCATCAGCCAGAATGCCATTGAGGTGTTTCTTGTGAAGGTTCACCAGCCAGTCCACACCAATTTGTTGATACTCTCGCAGCGACCCATGCAGTAGAAAAGGAGCTGCGCTGCGGGTCTAATAAATGAAAGGACAGTTAAAAAATGATAAAAGGCATCTTTATTGTTTATGTTTCTGTGAATGTGTGTGTTTCTTACTGTGGAAGTGGTCCTGAAGCTGCCCTTGGGCAGGATGAGCTCTGTGGCAGCTGCCACTTCAGCTATGTCTCTGGCAGGCTTCCCATCAGCGTCACAGGAAGTGGTTTTGTCAGCACCACGGTACTGGTCCACAGTAAGCAGAGAGTCAATCATCACTGCTTCAGGTGGACTCCCAGTAGGAGTCTCCATTTCTGGAAAATAACAAATATCTACTATTTTAGAGTCGCATTACTCACAATCATTACCTAAAATGGGTATGAGGATGAACATGACAATGTCATTTTTCAATTACAAATGTACCTTCAGTCTCTTCCATGTCATCCTCATCACTATTAGGACTAGGCTTAGGCCACTGAAATCCGTCAACATAGGCACCAGCATACTGCTTCATCAAAGCATCTAGAGGCATCTCAGCTAGAAACCAAATAAAAAAAGCATTTGAGTGACATACACAGACGCAAAGACAAGTAATTCTGGTACTTGTATGGCGTGTCCAACTGAGCAGCAAAAACTTTATGGTTTTTATGTTTTGTATTCATTCGTAACTTGATGATATATGCATGTAATGATATATTGCCAAGAATACTTTGACAGTATAAATACCAAATGTGTTTAGCTCATTAATTCATAATTCACCTTTATGAGCAACAGTAGGCTATATCAAGTTTGTCCACAACCATGTGTAACATTATAACTTACATAACATAATGTATATGTTACATTGACTAACACAACATATATATAGTCTCTATATAACAATCTTAATTTTTGATAAGGTTATTGCTGGCAAAACCTGAGTGTTACACACTACTCTTAGTCGTACAGAGCATCAGTACATGCTGTGTACTAAAGCATATTGCACAGCCATATAACAGGTTATGAAAAAAATTTATACCACAAAAGCCTTGTTTACTGATAAACTGAATATACTGTACATTGCGAACAAGGGAATATCATACAAATGGTGTTGGGAATAAACCTGGATCTCCTCCTTAATTCTGCCTTTCCACATATGCATAGAAAGAGAAGAAAAGAAAATAAGTACCATCTTTGGCAAGGTCAACCAATTCTGTTTTGTGGTCTGCTTCCCCCTCCATGGCTTCCTGTTCCTCTATGGTGCTCTCTTCATCTGGGACTGAAGGAAAAGAAAAATAATTGTTCAAATTAATTAGTTAATTTATAATTAATTAATTCATAATATTTCAATTGTGGACTCTTTCAAGTTTGATGCTACGTTTCTTTCCTCATATGAGCCTAAATAGTATGACACATACCATCTTCATCAACCAAGGACAAACTTGATTTTCTTTTTCTTGTTGATGTGGCCTCCTATAAAAAGAAAAAAAAAAACATATCAAAAGATATATCTAAAACGCAATATTCATTTCATTTCATTTTATTCATCGGTGTATCAGTGCAGCCCTTACCTCTTTATCAGCGTTCTCTCCCGTTGACTGACCAAGTGCTGTAACACAAGTAATTGAAGTTCAATAGAAAATAAAAATCTGTTTATTGCGAATGTATGAGAAAGTGAAAACTCATCATATACAGCAAATACGTTGTGTTTTATTTTTTGGTAGTTGCTCAGTGGGACGTACCTTTGCCTGAGGCTTTTTGTAAGCTGAGTGCTTTGAGCCTCTTCTCATAAATTTCAAACTGAAGTTTAATTTCCACAACCTGACAGAAAAATACGTCACTCGGACTGGCAAAAAACAAATTATGACATGGTTTCATAATCAAGAATGGAAAACATCTAAATAAACATACCTGCTCAATGTTTGACCAGAAGAATTCCACCTCCCGGGCAATTGTGCTGGCAATGTTACGAAGATGAATTTCCCTTTCTTTCTTTGCCCTCTCTTCACTTTTCTTCTGCTCTTGATGGTAACGGGCACATGTGCGAACAAGCTGTAACAGAGACACATGAGACATTTTGCTTTCAACAAGACATCAGTTGTGACTTGTCCTTTTGTTGTGCTGATGTGAAATTTCATATTTCTCTCTGAATTATTCCATCTCAGCCATACCTTCTTAGCAGCAGCCTCTTTCCACCTTCTCTCCTGGGCAAAGTCAGCTGCCATCCACTGCATCTCTTCCAGGAGGTAGTCCCAGTGGGACTTGGGACGCGAGGCTTCCACAAGCTTGGGGAGTCTACTGGCTGACCACTGGCCCTCCTTCCTTAGTTCAGAGATGCGTTGATGCACTTGACTCTCCTGAGAAATAAAAACATGCAACATCAGAAAAGACATCAAAAATGTCCTTGTTTTAGTTGCTCCAGTTAGAGATAGGGTGTCATTGGGCATTGTCAATAACATTATGTCAATTATTCCTCTTTGTCAAATTTCATGAGAAGTACTTATGATAAGTAAAAAGTATACATATTTGCTTTCTTTAAGAAAGAAATATGGTACATAAGTGTATTTACGACATTTAAAAGACACTGAATCTATTCATGCCAAAGGATTTCATTCATTTGCAGACATCTGTTTACAAACTAAGTGTGCTTAGGGAACTCACCAGTTTGGCTTGCTCAACTTGCTTATCCTGAGAACCCTCCTGTGAGGACTGCATGGTCGCACTTTGACCAAAACCACCAATTTTGACTGTGGATATTCCATTGGTTCCAGTCAGTTTGGACTGGGTGCTCGGATTGATGTTAGAGCCAAGAGGACGGAGAGGACTTGCAGTATGGGGGGTTGTAACAGAGTTGGTAGTAGAGAGGGGAGCAGAAGACATGGATGTCATGGTTACTGAGTTGGTCATAATCCTCTGAACTGGCTGGTTCGACTCTGTACCTGGGCGAGCAAGCGCCACAGTCTATATAGAAGAGAGGAAAAAAAGTATTACTAAAAAGGACAAATTGTAATATCACCATTCAGTCACAAATACACATGAAAACTGCATTTATATGTTTTCACATAGACTGACCGCTTGTCCAGACTGTAATATAGCCTGGGATTGTTGCTGCTGAGGCTGCAACTGAAGATGAAGACCTGGCTGCATCTGTTGCTGTAGTTGGGCCTGGAGCTGTGTGTGGGGGTTTACTGTAGCCAGGACAGGCCCACCTGCCTGCACTTTCACCTGTGCCTGAAGCTGACCACCAGGCTGAGCTGTATTCTCCACCAACTGAGCCTGCTGAGAGAGTGTCATGGGCAGGCCTGCCATAGGGAGGGCACCTTGGGGCAACCTGCCAGGCAGCTGGGGAGGAGGGGTGTGCAGGCTGGCTGCATTCTGCACTGGAGGTCCTTTGGATGGGTCATATTGTTGCTGGTTCTGCTTCTGTCCTGCAATCTGGACTGCTTGAGGAGTAGGCGGCATCCCGCCTGTACACATAGTAACCAAAGTATAGGACACACAAAGGGGTGGTATAGAAAGCAACACAAAGAAAGACACTAAAAATCAAGTTGTCAATATTGTCATCTCAAATGAAGTCTTTTGTAAATGTCATTTGGTAGCTTTCCCTTAATATATATTTGAGAGACCCCTTTAAACAAGTTACATATTTTGAAGCTAATAAGTAGAGAATGAAATAGTACTTTTACATTTTAAATGACTTGAATGTTTGAGCTTCAGCTATTAGAGCTCCTCAGAACCTTGCCTTTAATGAACTAGATGTACTGTATGAATCAAACAGTGGTACACTACTTCCTGATGATCAGAGCGGAAACTAATGAAACTCATACAGCAAAATGATTACAGAAGAAATGAAATCAATGTGAGAATCTACATGTCTCTCAAATAAAACACTACTTTGATTAATGCAAAACCAAAACATTGCATTTCAAATGTTGAGAGAACGTGGTTAAAAACATCAAAAATTATACATGCAATAAGAAAGGTTTTTAGAGAGGAAAATAGAAATGTTACAAAGGAAAATGAAAAAAAAGAACTTCTAAAAGTAAAGAGACAGGGAGAAGAAAGGGGAAATAAAAATACAGAGCGGACACTGACAAAAACACCATATGTTTGGCATGCATGAAGCGATGTCATTCTAGCGGTAACCAAGGCATCTGGATGCCTCACATAGCGACAAAGCACAGAGATGAGCAAAAGGACACACATGGGGTCTTGCAGACAGCAGGCATGAGCGGAGCTGTGCACACTAAAGCAGCGCCTGCCTTACCTCCCTGCACGTCACACCACCTTGCCTAGACGCCATCAACACCTGGCCCTGACACACCCACACCACCACAATCGCAAAAACCTGTGCCGTGAACACAACTCCTCCACATGATTCCCCTCCTACTTAGACTGAGGGAAAGAAGCCAAGTCAGAACAAAATGCCATGAAATAACATGGAAGAAAATCAACTAAATGTGAACATGAGATAAATAAAGACACTCTTGAAGATGTAACGTATGAAATAAAGACTGATGATTCTGAATCCCTGTTGATGATGCAAGGACGGACAATCGGACGAAAAGACGTGAAGGAATGATGATGGGAAACCAAAAGGAAGCATGACACGTGGATTCATAAAATGGGAAAACAAGCAAAACCCATTGGAAAGTGAATTTATTCACACAGGGTTCCCACTTTCTGTGATCCACCTCCAAATTAGATGAAAATCCATCAGCACGGGAAGGTCTGTCCAAACAAAGACGACTAACAGGAACAAACTTCAGAAAAGAAGAGATGGATAACGACGGGTGATCAATAGTAAAACAAAAAAGGAAAATCATAAGACATGGCATCTTCCCATTGAGTGGCTACTCTTCTTCAGACTTGGATTGTCTTCTTCCCCATTTATCCTGATAGACAGAGCTGGTGCTGGTACAGCTAAGCCTGAACTTCCTGTGGACTGCTGAGAAATCCAGCAGATGGATGAAGATCTGTTTGTTGATGCTGCTTGGAGTTTTTTTTTTTTTTTTTTTTATAGAAGATGAATGTTGTGATTCACTTTTTAAAATCTCCTTAGTTTGAGGAAGGGAACACGTCCAGCAGCATCGAACAGAACACAGAACGGCCTGGTAGTAGCACTCCTACCTTGCGCAGTTGGCATAAGCTGCTGGAGTGGAACGCCAGGTGATCCTAAAGGAGCTACACCAGGATGCTGGAAAATCAGCCCATGGCGACCAACGTCAATCCGGGACCTCTTAGCCTGATCTGGGATTTAAAACACACAATACCCTCATAACGCAAAAAAAAAGCACTCGGCACAGAGCAATGACCTTCTGAAGACCTTACAGGTCACCTCGCCTTCCTCGGGTTAAGACTTCAACACAGAGCGCTAGTAGAGGATGCCAAATATCTAAAAGCAGAAGCAATTAGAGGGAGAAAAGAAAACAAACAGAAAACAAAGCAAACGGGGAGGAAACAAAGCAACATAAGAGAGACAGGAGTCTACGATCCTTGCCCTACCTGCTTGCACCATAGCTTGTTGCCTCTTAAAGGCATCCATGTCTCCAGGATTTGTAATGGTGCCAGCAGCAGCCCCTTGATGTCCCTGTAAAAACAACCTCTCACGGAATTATTGAGGGATTTTCTCTTACACAACATTTTCAATTGAATTTTTAAAAATAGCTATAGATAATTTAAACGTAATTAGTGCTTAGAACAAGTGTTGCTTCTATCACCTGAAACTGCTGCTGGGTAGAGAATGCTGCAGAAACATTGGGAGGAAGCTGTGTTGCTATGGCAACTGGTGTCACTGCTTGGCCATCCTTTCCAGTAACAACCTTTACCTGAAAAAGACACAAACTTTAAAGAGGCACAATATCAATTGAATGAAATGAATGTAAAGTTCTCTAATTGTAAAACGCCTACTGGATCTCACACTATGAGCCAGCTTGTGTAATACCTCATCATTAATGACCTCAGACTGTTCTTCTTCTTCCTCTTCATCTTCGAGGTCCAAGTCATTCTGTCTCAAGTAAGTATACAAAGGAACACAGGGCTTCTTCTTAAAAGCTAGATAGTCCATCATGTTCCCTTGGAGGTGCTGCAGAAAGAAAAGCTCAATCAGGTATTCTTTGAACACTTCCTTGAGACTCTCCATCTTCTTGTTGTGGTGCTCCAAGCACTGTTTTCTCAGCTGGGCAATCTCTGGAGTAGAAGGAGCAATTTCCTCTAACTTCTTCAGAACTTGTTTCTTCACAGTGCCCACAGCCATGCTGGTGGGTGCAAGAGGATTGTTGGGAATCCCTTGGGGTGGACTAGTGAGAGATGGGCTAGATGGTGGAATGGAGGAGGGTATACTGAAAGTTGCTGTGGCAGTGGAACCAGGAACCACACTCTGTGCCGTCTTCTCAAATATCATAGGGCGTGCCAGCTGTCCTTGAATGATACTGCTGATCTGTGGAGGTAGGTTGGAAGTGGTGATGTGACCAGGGCTGCCCAGAGTAGGGAGGGTAGTGCCAGTGGCCACAGGACTTTGAGGTCCGAGGTGGTGGATGGTGCCTCCGGTCTGTGAGTGAGGCTGAGAGAGCCGGCGTTCCCTCACAGAGCCTGGTGCCCCTGCAGGAGCCAGCTGTACCTGGCCAGGTGTGGCTGGGGCAATCTGTGCCAGTCCTGTCCCCTCCTGGTAAACAAAGTGGCCACTTCCTGATGGACTGCCTAAACTGATTTGTCGCACTAACATACCAGCTTCAACAAATCGTGTTGGACTCTGTCCACACACACCCAGAGCTGTTGCAGGTGCTCCTGGCCTTGTAACACCTTGAAGAGGGACTGGGCTGTGCTGGGTGGGACTTTGGGGCTGCATGGGCTGGGGCACAGGTGAGGTGACCTGGATGTAGGAGGATGGAGCATGCTCAAACCTCCACTGAGGTGTAGTATGCTGGAAGCCAGGGGATGCTGGGTTCTGGATGGGAAGCGGGGTTAGGGTGATCTGCTGGTTACCAGTCACCATCTGTCCCACATTTTGTAATGTGATGTTCATATTCTGGCCAGTGACTGGGCTACGACTCATGATTATCTGATAATTGGGTGACTGGGGGGCTGAAGGGCTGGCAGCAGTGGAAAATGTGGTCACAGGAGATTGAGGGTGGTTAACTGTAGCTTGCTGCTGCGTAGCTGCCATGTTTGGCTGCTGCTGCTGCTGCTCCTCCGCTTCAGACCCACTGACAGACTTGGATCTCTGGAGCTGTCGTTGCATATTCTGTGATCCACTTCCATGGTGCATTGCGTGACACTGTTATTATGTCTAAACACAATAATCTGTGAAAAGGGCAAAGCAAAGAACACTAATAAGTGATTTTTAACTATTGAATATGACCCAAAAATGTTCAGAAGGTTTTTTCTAGTAGGTCATCCAAGCATTGCAAACACTAGTAACATATATACCACCTGGTCCCAGATTTCAAATATCTTAATGAATTGTACTTTTAAGTAGGGGTCTCAATAAAACAGTGTAAACAAATCATATGAATTTGAAAACTGTCAGATATCCCTTTAATATCTCTGGGTCTATTGGATCATTGTCTGTAGTGCAACTGCTTGCAGGGTTGCTTTGTCGTAATATTTGATTTTGTATTCGATATTCCATAATCTTCAGATTTTTACATCATTGTGATAATGTAAATGGTAATTGTGTTATTCCTTGATTTGTCAGTTATACAATTTACTGTCTGGCTATTTCATCTACGAACAATTTCTCAATTGATATTCACAAAAAAATGTACTATGCCACAGCGTATGGTGATATATATATATGTGTGTATATATATATATATATATATATATATATATATATATATATATATATATATATATATATATATATATATATATATATATATATTGACTTACTCACTTTCCACCATAAAACTAATTTCTTGTATCCTGGTAAACATAGCCAATTTTAAATACACACATGCAGGGGTAATAGAAATATAGAGGGCAGCTGATTGGCAGTACACCTGACAGCTAGTACATCTACATATTAAAATGTGCTCATTAGGTACACAGATGAGTCCTTAATGGCAAAAACGCAAGGGTGTTTACCTTTAAGCTTATAACATACTTGCAAGCAGTCAGAGGTTTCAAAAGTAAATCTAAATATATCTACAACCCATCTTTAAATAGGTGTGCAAGTTTAAGCGAGCATAAAATAATTAACAATCAATAATACAAATCTAGACTGTGCAGCAATAGAAATGTTATGGTTGACGTAATTTACCGGTGTGAGTCACCCAAAGCCAACCTGCATTTTAAACAAAGGTAATATATCGTTACTCGTACTGATAATGGTGATTGTACAGTTACTGCGGCTGGTATCAGTAAATTACAGCGTTAAGAAATTCTCCAGTTTTATGTAGTCTACAGTTAATTATTAGTCAACACTGACATTAAATTTACAAACAAAATGACCTAAAAAACTATGTTTTCTGGGTAGTCGCTTACATTTTCATTGTTTGTCACGACGTTAACGTTAGCTCCCACTTTCAGTACTGCTCCGGGGCGTAACGTAAGCTAACGCTAGCTAGCTAAAAGCATTTCAATGAGACATAAAATCGCAGTTGTCAGAATAATCAAGTAGGGTAAGAGTTGGGTAATAAATATACTGAAAATACATTGCTAATATTACACTATAAACATCTGCAATGATGTTGTCTGTGCTATTTCAGCAATTACAACGACTTTTGCTACGGGACGCGTGCTAGCTAAGGCTAATGATGTTAGCTTGTTACTGCTAGTAGGCCAGCTGCCAATCAATAAATACATTTTATCACCTCAACAATGTTACTTACAGGGAATGGGGCTTCTGTAGTAGTTTCATAAATCCTATGTCATATTTACAATAAGTCACATGCTGTAACAAATGTTATTGCGCGAAAAAATAAAATATCGATATTGCTAGCGGCTAGTCAATGTTTTGGAGCTAATTTCATTCAGCAACATGGCGACCGCGGCAACCTTTAGGGTAACCCGGATGTCATTCTGTCTCCAGGAAGCGGTAACACCATGAGACGATGACGTTACCTAAAATGGATTATCCGATGAATTTTTGTAATTTTCAGTAATGTATCATAAATCGTTAACCTGGTGTTACTAACAAAACAAAACAGGAGAGATTTAGCAAGCAACAGTAACGGACTTGAACCCATAGCTTTACCAATAAATATTATTTATTTTCATCACACAGTGTGTAACAACTCATTTTGGCAAATTTGACCAGCAAGTAGAAAATGCAATTTCATTAATTCTAACAAACTTGTGTTTAAACACAAACATTTTCACAAAATATTGGCTATGTAATTGTAACAAACTAGTGTACTATTATTGGGCAAAATTCATGTACAAATGAATTAACATACATTTTTTACATTAATCCAAACTTACACCTATAAAACCCCAAATAAGCACAGCTGAAAAATAAAACTAATGTGCACACATACACACAAACAGCAGATAAACATAAGAAATGTGGCATGCAGTCATTACTTAAAAGTACCGCACAACTGAGTCCATTAACAGGGCATCGTTCAATCATCTGTTGCAAAACTAATCTGTTGTAAAATCCCATTCAAATATTTAAAAAAAAACAAAAAAAACTTATTGCACTCTATGATGACTGTAAGACAATTATTCTGTATGAGGTCAAAATATCATTATACCTTACAGCCAATACTATGCTGTGATGAAAAATGTACAAAAAAAATGCAGGCACAGTTTTATTTATATTGCTACACACTGGCAATATTTGGTCATCTCATTCAGAATATTGTGACTCCTGTTGGCTGGAGAACTTTTACACAAATGCTTCAAATACAGAAAAAAGAAATAATCTTTGTTTCAAGTACAACAATCAGTTAAAATCAGTTATTATTTCATCTGATAATTCTATGTGCAAAACACAAAACACACCAACAAATACACTATGTAACAAAACAAAACAAATACTGACAGAAATTGATCTTATCAAAGTTTTCAAACAATTATAACACAATCTGTCTTCAAAGACATGTACAAAACAGGACTTCCAGTCTTTTCTGTGCATTTATGTAAAGATTACAGACTGGGTGGTGGGATAAGAGCAGATGCTCCAGTGGTCATTTCCCTTAAGAAAGATCAAAGTGCTTGTGTGTATTGACAGTCTAGGAGGATTCATTTACATTGAGGAGATGAATGAGTCAAGATAATCCAGTAGCTGTGAGTGCATTTGTAGAGCTCATGGATACTGTTAAGTCTGCAGAGCAGAAAGGCGTCGCTCAATGCACTGCTTACCTGAGAACACAGAGATTAAAACATTCAGATTAGAATAAAATCTCATCAAGATCTAGGGAAAATAACTCATCATCTGATTATAGTATTTTAAGATGCAGTCTTGTGGTTTGTGTGTCATTAGTGCTGCCACCTACATTTGTCTATGCTGTCAATGTCCTTTTGCTCTGTGATGACTCGGGACAGACCCTCCATCAGCAGAAGGGCTCTATGGTAGCGCTGGACTGATGCGGTGCCATAGTGGAACATCTCATCTAAAGCAGCAGACTGTACCTTAATGCAATAAAAACATACATATTAAGGCTAAGATAGAGAGACATACTGGATATATAGTTGATAGAATCTGTTTTGGAGTGAATGTCAACATCTGTTGTGAGGTGAGCTCACCATGTGCACAGTGTGGTTGTAGATGAGCTTCTCTGCCGTGAGTCCATTGAAGCGGTCCATAAGCCTCTGTTTGTCAAGCAAGAAGGTCTGCAGCCGATCGTTGAGGGATCGACAGTATGTTACACAGTTCTTGTACAATTCATTCAGCTTCCTGATCACTGCACAAAGGAAATACAGTATGCAAATTTTGTTATTCTAATAAATATGAACTCACTTTTTTCATCAAGCTTCAACATGGATGCCAATTCTTATCCTGTCAGACTACCACAGCAGAAACACCTGGATAGATCAAGCTGCTCACTGCAATATTAATTCTTTATTTTTTTTTACACTACAACACCGAAAAGCATTTGTTCTTCCCGAATTACTAGAAAATAAAAAAGATTTAACAGACTTTTAAGGTCTACAAAAGGAGTGCTTGATAATCAAAACCAGAGGTCACTGGTCTCACCTTGTTTAACTGTAGCAGAGGGAAGGAGTCTGCCTTGTTTGATATTCTCTTTAGCAGTGTGCAGCGCTGATGACAGAAACTCTTCAGCCTTCATGTACAACACTAACTGCTGTGCATAGCTGGAATGTGCACATAAAAAGGAGATGTCATTTTCACAAAGACTTGTGAAGGAAGAGAGCTACTGTACAATGCTGAAGAAATATAAAAAAGCTTCATGCCTCTCACCTCCATTCTCTACTCAGAACGCTTATCTGATCTGTCACCAAGCTCTGCTCTAGAAAGGAAACATCGGGACTGCTGATGGCATCCAGCCCTGCGTCTTTTGAAGAAGCCAATTCCATGACACAGTGGACAAAAGCCAAGGTGAAACGCAGGTCACTCAGGCCGTCTGTATGAGCCTGCTGCGAAAATAACCAATAAATTACTGTTAATACAGAACCTGTTCATGTGGAATCTGAATTTGTCTATTTTATGTTCATCTGCAAATGTGCGTAATGCCTATAATAACCTGGAGGATTCACCTCACAGCGTCATCATAGTATTTATGTGTACCTCCATGAGTGTATCCTCAGCGAGCACTGGAGGGTGAAAGACCGGACTGCTGTGTGGAGTAGCCTCCATGGCTTCAGTCTCACTGTTTCTACGGCTTCCTCTCTGGAGAAGGCGACTGTTAAGTAGCCAGGTTGAGTGAATGTAACTGGGGGAGCCTGCATTTAAGACAAATATAGGTTAACTCTGATCATCGGAAATCGGAGTGATCGAAAGAGCACGAGGGGAACAGATAACATATAATCAGGTGTCTACTTATTATGTGTTTCATTATTATTTAGATTTTAAAAACTATGTCATGGCCTGGTATAGCAGCAGACTCTAACTTAAATGTGAAAAATCACAGTTTCTTCTTTTACCTGACCAATTCCCAAATGGTTTACCTAAAACTTTACCTGGTTAACAAAGGCACTCAACTTGTGTCGTGCTTCAGACTTTCTAATTGGATAATTACACTTTAATAATTTGCATAATTGGTCTAAATGAACCCAAATCAGAGAATGCAGTACATAAAAATCCAGCCTCATTGGATCACTCATAAATATACTTAATAAAGGGACTTCTCACAAACCTCCTACAGGACAAGCTAATATAATGGTTAAAAATGAATTCCCTAAACAGTCAATATTCAGTGTAATCAGAACACTTACCTGAGAACATCCTTGACACCATGGCATCAGGAGGAGTGTTTCCTTTGCCTGGAGAACCTATAGTGAAGACTGCAAGAGGTGGGCTGTCCGCCCATTGAAAGCCTCTACTACAACCAGTAGGTGGAGCTGTAGGAATGAATAAGGAGAGTTCAAGTCAAATGGTTAAGACGGCCTTGGAAAATGTAGTCCAGCTGAACTGCACCCTGTAAATGATATGGTCATGGTCACTGCAGTAGGGAACCTTAAAATAGCTGCTTTGTAACTACTGCAAACATAGAGTAATACCTCACCTCGCCCCCTCAATTATGTGTGTGTTTATTCCTCAATATGTCTTGATTTCAGTATTACTTCACATGACTTTAGACTTTAGAAACTATACTTGGCTATGAATTAATTACCCATGTTTTTTAATCTGTCACTACAACAACAGCAACATAGTCTTACATACAAACAAAGATAAACACTATCAGTAGAAACAGGACCGGCCCTGTTTGGTACCTGTTATATCCATGCTTTTGTCACAGTTATGGCTCTCATCACTTCCCTCTTCAAACAGGTGAGCTCCAACGGCCGCCTTCAGTAGCATGTCAGACAGCCTGCCAGTGCTCAGCGATCTGGACATTCAATACAGCCACAGACACCATCATGAGCGTTTCATAATTTATCAGATGGCATATCTTCAATACTGTGTGACATCTCTAGGTGCTAGACAGCAGGTTTTCCATTCCATTCCATGCCTTATTATGTTGTTATTATATTATCATATAACAACAATTGTTACATTCACAATATTATTATAATGTTCTGACCTTTTAAAAGGACCCTTCTTATTGGCAGATTGCCTGCTGTGGTTGGTCTGGAAAGCAGGAGATGTGCCAAGGGATTGCAGGTCTGTGACTGTCCTGATTCGGTTTGACATTCTTGACTGAACCTGCTGCTGAAAATCAAATGACAGTTGAGAACCATTTGATTCTGCTGTAAGAGCTTGTAATTACTCTATCATAACTCTTTGCCCTTATAGGGAGTATAAAGAATTAGTCACTTTGCTGTTCTGAAGAGAGGTGAAAAAAACAAATCATTCATTTTCGTAATAATATAATAATAATAATGCAATAACATAGATGTTTTAGAAGCTGACCTTGGGACTGGAGGTGTCCTGCATGCCAGGAGAGCCAGTGAGCAGTCCAGTTCTTGTGCTGAGTGGGAGAGTCTGCTCTGAGGTCTTTGGGGTATTTCCCACTACGATACAGAGGATTTGAGATCTTAATAATTAGCAAAAACCAGCAGTGTATTATGCCTGGTTATGAAATCAGTATTCACTGGAACACTTTCTCGAAACCAGAACAGTCCACATCAATAACAAAGAATGAAACAAGCCGAGGCGTGCTCTCTGGGTGTTGTCAAAATGCCTAAATTAAAGTAGATGAGTCAGGCATAGGGAAAGTGGGTACAGAGACAAAAAATCAAATACAAATATGTCATCACAAAACAACTCTGGGAATGTACTGAACATGAGATTCAGATGGTGGAATTTTTGTCAACACCCAACTGACCCTAGTGGCTAGCAACAAGTGACATTGCACTGACAAATTCCCATGTATTGTGTTTGTGTAAGTGTGACCAAGATAGCTGCTGTACAAGAGCTCTGCTAAATAAACATTCCCTACACAGGTAAAAAAAAAAGAAAAGAAAAGTTGATTAAGATGACTACCTAGCGGGGAGCACGGTTGCGGCTGGGCGCCTCCAGTTGCCAGTCTTGGGGAGTTGAGGACATATCCAGGACCTGGAGCTCTACAGCCTCCACATTGTGGGGAGCTTCCACTGCTGCTGCCTGCACAGCACAGTGTGGCCCTGAATGACATGACACATAATTAGATAAAGGCAGAAGAGAAAAAAAAAAGACACTAAGGCAGTGTGAGCGCAGAGATAACACCGCTCAGAGGTTGTACATGCCTGGTGGAGCCATTCAAGCCAACTGGTTGCAGGTTCTGTTCCATACGCTGGTAGTTTTGGATCTGTGTTGGGACAGGAATGGGCACAGAGGGGCTGCACTTACGGCCAACGAATTCAACGGGCTTGCTGCGTGAATGAAAGAAGAATCCAAGGAATCACACACACAGAGGAGCGAGCACGTAGGAGTGTTTTTGATGGTTTTATATATCAAAGGAAAACAGCAGTGCAATTAATAACAGCCTCATAAAGTACATTAAATAGATATGCTATACATAGTGTTGGATTTATTATGCTGACACTCATCATCTATCTTTGAGCACCTTCATCTTCAAGACACTAAAACCTGCTTAGCTGTCTCTTACCTAACGGGCTTGGAGGGAGAGTGTAGGAGGGGAGAGGGTGGAGGTGTCTTTCCTGCAGGCCCGGGACCTCTCTCAGCGACCAGGGAGCTCCTGGAGAGAGCGTAAAAATATATTTGTTTGCTGTAGTAAATCTATGTGACATATCACGCATAATGATGTATTAGTTAATATAGAAAAAACAAACTGTTCAGCAACCATTGCCTGATGTGGGACACTGACAAGATATTGTGCAGCTCTATCAGTGACAAGGGTTGAACTTTTTACTCATGTTTTTGTTGAGGTTCACATGAGAGGTCTGTTCTATTGTTTGTGCGCAACTCACCCACTGTATATAAGGCAACTTTCAATTGGTGACCCAACATCCACTTCACATGTGTACTCACCTACGAAGCAGTGAAATAGAAGTAGTCAGACTTCAACAAATAAATAAGTGTGTAACAGGCCGATGTGAAGAAAACATGCACAATAAAAAAAGATCTATGGAGTGAGAGTGAGGTTCAGAGGTCTTACTGGGAAACTGGGCAGGCACCATGACATAGTCATCTGTGTAAGATGAGGTGTTCCTACTGTCTTGATTGGCTATTTCTTTCAGGAGGAAGCCAGCGGTGTTTTGCGTAGGCGAGTACTGCGCTTTGGGCTGGAGGCGGTGCATCTCTCCATCGGAATGCTAAGAGAGCGTAGAATTAAGTTTGATCAGATTTAACTATGGGAAATAACAGGGAAACTGATACACAATGAGTATTTCTTTTACGAGATATTTACATTTCACATCTTTTACCAAGTGGCTTTTGTTCTACCTGTCCAACATGAGAAAGTAGTACATACTTGAGGTGAGGCCAGATGGGATGTGGAGGAGCTACTAGAAGAACTGCCTGAGCCTGAGCTGGGATAGGAGACCATGGGAGCTGGAGAGCCTGTCAGAAAAAGTGCTTGTGTTAGGACCCTGGCTGTAAACCCAGATAATGATAAATAGATGGGAGAGATACTGACACAAACGAGGAACAGTACGTACATTTCTTTGTGGATGAGCTCGTCTCCATGAACGGATGGTGGAAAAACTCATCTGTGAGTGTAAAGATTTACATGTAAGAGAGGCTTTTTAAAATCAAAATTATGAAAAGGGTTCTAGATGTTAAAAGGCAGGGGCTTACCAAAGCTGATCCGTTCTTTGTGGTTCCTCTGCAGCAGCCCCAACAGCAGGTGTCTTAGGTTACTAGAAGTCTCCTTTGGGATGCTGGGAAAACACAGAGGTTTCCTATTTAGATTAACTTTGATCAATAACACTACTATTAATATAAATCATGGAAAAATCTAAACACTGGAGAATAGATAGAATAGACAAGAGGAATAAAACATTGTGTGTATAGTGTGTTCACTGTGCTTGCATTTTGTTGCTGATATATGTGGCCTAAAAAGAAATAATATTTAGGTCAGTTGTGTTTCATAAGCTCAGAGCGAGCTGTAAAATATGTGATTTTTTTAATCTAATTTACGGTTTCGGTGCAAAACCTCAAGGCGTCATGACACTCAGAGTCAGTGCAGGCTGTGAGTGCGTGTGTGTTTGTGTCTGTGCTGAGCTATGTGGGTCATGTGGAAAATGATAGCCGTGCAGGCCACTAACTGGCAGCTCGGAGCAGGTTATATATAGAATGACAAGAAAACAACAAACCGTGCCTCCTCACACACAAACAGGGTCTGACTTATCACCCAGCTTTATCACTCCAAAAAGATAAGCATGGCTACGAGCCATACACAGGCTGGCAAAATACACCATGAAAACAATGGGCAAACAATCCATTAATCCCTTTGAACATTTTTCCATGTCTGACTTCTGAAAGTCAAAGATTCAGTTTTCACAATGACTGTCCAAGAGAACTGATTGTAAAGGCCGAAACAGAGAGTTTCACATTACAAATGAACAACACCACATATATAGAAATATATACAGTATATATATATATAAAAGACAGGACACTACATTTGCATAGCATTATACAGTTGCTGGATTTTCAATTGTGTGAGTGGTCGATCGAGAATGTTCTGGATGATCTGTCCCGTCAGGTGTCTGTAGCAGTTTCTTCCACATTGGGACTATTTTTAGCTGTGGTATGAAAGTCGTGGATTTATTGAGTGCTAATGTGTGTGCATGTGTCTGTGTTTTGTAAAGCGTCCATGTGCACACTGAACACCATTCATATACACACAAATTTATGTACAGGCACAGGGCAGATTAATGTCAGTCATTCATCAGCAAACTAAGCGCAGAGAAGACAGATCTCCCTGTAATGCACGTTTACACGCCTCTCTTATCATCTTCCCGTGCATATCGTGCATGTACAACATATATCTGTGTCGGCACGAGATTATACAAAGGTGCACTCACCTGGGTAACAGGGTCCTGTTGCTTTCGTAAAAGAGACGGAGCTCCTGCGGTGTGCTAGCCTACACAACACACACACACACACACATACACACACACACAAAATATGAGTTAAATTTGAAAATGACCATGTATGTGTACACAGTATATGCAAATGAAAGCAGCCCCACCCTTACAAACCAACATTAGAATAGATAGTGATAGTGAATGATAGTGAAATGTTTGCCAACATCATTGCAAATTGCAAAAGTGCCAAAGTGCATATAGTCCAAACAGAAACAATATATGGGTGTTTGATGATCCCACTCAGGACAAAGTGGAATGCTGGGAGATGCCAGCTAAGCCACCTAAGTAAACATCATCATCAACATCATCATCAGCTAACCTCACACTGACCCTTATCTCAACTCATTGACCTGCCTGGTAAAAATAGATGTCAGTCTTCCCTCTCAGTCTCAGGGAAAATGCATTCAAGGAAACTGCAACATAAATAACCTCTCAACAGGTACAAAAGGTCATATGACAGAATGTTCTCCTCTCACTGCTGATACATGGGAACAAAAAGGGATTCCAGAAAAAAAAAAAAAGAAAAATTAGCACGTGTCTATACCCAATCACAGCAGAGCAATCTGCAAATAGCAGTTCAACAATTTCATCTGAGAATCCACGTGAACAGATGTAGAAAGTAATACGAAGCGTTGTGAAACAATATTTACTCTGGGTTCAGAGAAATGGCTGACAGCCATTTCCGCATGCACCCCCCCCCAATCTGTAAACAAGGCTCTCCTCACAAGTAGTCAAGCTGTTCCCACATTTTCCAGCTAACAACACTGGATATCAGGGAGAGTGTCACCCGGCAAACAGGTGGTTTTCAGTGCTTGTGGATCATATCGTTTCTCTGTGTTGTGAAAGGGATGGATCATGTCCTGTTTTATGTTGACAAACTGAGTCTGCCCTTTCTAGGAACTAAAGCAAAACTATTTCAGGAGTATTTGCAGTTATGTAAGGGACCACAGCAAACATTTGTTGGGGGAATTGCTAAATCTATTTACCTAAACACCTAAAAAGAGTAATGTTACAGTTTTTGTATCTGCATGTGTGCATGCTCACGTGAAATGGTGCCTTCCCAGTCAGACACTGGTACACAATAGTGCCTATGCTCCACAGATCAGCCTTGGCATCATAGTTCTGGGACATGATGACCTCAGGAGCCTGTGTCCAGACAAACACAGCTTACAGATTAGAGACATGGTGACATTACACCGAGTTGGCACAGGAAACCAGAGTAATAGACCTTTAATACTCACCATGTACATGGGAGAGCCACACAGCGTGGCTGCCATAGTGTTTGTCTGGAGATGACGTGCAAACCCAAAGTCAGCTGGAGGGTAAGAGAAAGAGAAGAGTTTGTGTACATGTCTGTGTGTGTGACGAATTAACTCACACCACCATCTTCGTTAAAACAATGCATTTTCACAGACATACTATTCATTCAGGTCTTCTAATACTCTGCATGTTAAAGTCATTACCAATCTTAATGCAGGTATTGATGGAACTGGACCTGCGCCCCTCTGGGTGGCAGAGCAAGATGTTCTGGGGTTTGAGGTCTCTGTGGAGGATGCCTTTACCCTGCAGGACCTTCATGGCCTGAGCAATCTGCTGTAGGAATACACGGATGGTGTCCTCACTTAACGTGCCCTTAGCTGTGGATCAGAGGGATGAAACACGTACATTAAGACGATACAGGACGAAGTCTGCATGGCAGCGTATAGAGAGTTTGATATATTGCAGGGTGTGTAGATACATGTGAAGAGGTAAAGGAAGTTATTTATTCCTAATATGTTGCCCTCGCATAAGTACCCCAAGTACTTTAGTGATGCAACTTAATATCATTCTAATAATCAATTTATTATTATTACTTAACTAAATACATTATTATTTGTCATCAATAGAACCTTTTTTCTTTTTACATGTTTATGAAACCAACTGGCACACTTGGTTAAAAGGTTATTGTCTTGTGGCCTTTTACCATGCAACTTACTAGTTTACTAGTCTATTGCACATCAAAGATCTTAGTAGTGATGAAAGTGACTTACTAATTAGTTAATCAATTGACATTAATTGGTACTATTCTTGACAACTGATTAATCGTTTAAGTCACTCTTTTTTAGCACAAACTCACCAAACTCACACAAACTTTTTTGTCTTCTATAAGTAAGTAAATAATATTTGAATTCTGGACTGTTGGTCCAACAATTTCAGTGTGTCAACTTGGGCTTTGGAAAATTGTAATTTTGGAAAATCATACTTTTCACTATTTCTAACATTTTATGGATCAAATGATTAATTGGAAAAAATAATCTACAAATTAATAACGGGGGAAAATATTTGTTGGTTGAAGCCCTTGATCTCACTTAAAAAGTGGATTTAATTTGTTTGTTCTCACACTCTCGTCATAAAATCCAATATGATGTAAGGTGGCATCAGCGTCACAGCTGTCATACTCTGAGGAAGAGAATTTTGTTTATGATGAGGCTCCATTTGGAAATTAACGTGAACAACACCTGACACGCTAGCGACCCCCTCCTACAGGGGACATCCAGTATTTCTAGCGGCAGTGTTTTTCCACCGGAGCACAGGGGATAAGTGAGTGACAGATGGGTGAGGTCATGTGAGTGCTCCGTGAACCCTGCCAAGTGTGACTGAGTGTTGTGCTGCAAATAGCTGGATGTGCCTTCTTGGCAGGGACAGAGAATGGGCCAGTCTACAAAATAAGAGACTCTGGCATGATGGTAGAATTAGACCATCACTCTACATCAGCATTTAAATAGACACACCGACACCAACCAAAAATCAACTTAATACCCTCAGCTGCGTCATCATATTTTGATACAGCGTTTGAAACTTGAGGCAGAGTGAATTTTAAGTGTGACACAAGTTACACTGAAAGCCAAAGACATAAAAAATAAAAGCTGGGAGTTACTTTTGCTGCTTATTTTCTACTGGTTTCTACATAATTTGTAAGAAAAACATAGAAAAAACTTGACCACAAGTCAAGTTGAGGGTTTTAATTTTATCTGGGTTAAGTACTCGGGGGTATTAGAGATAATTTACCCACTGACCTGTTGGAACATTAAACCTGAATTCTATCGTTGTGCTGGCAAAATCCTATTATTCCTTCAAAACACTGAAAAAGCTTAGCCAAGCCTCTTAAAAGCCACACTAACCCGCCAGTACAGAATGCCGCTCCAAATATGTTTACAGCTAACAAACTGTGAGACTGGCACTCTCTTGCAACAGTGAGGAGTGGTGTCAATATCCCCCTTTATGCTTTGACCACAGGTGAAATGGAAAACTTTACTGTAGTGAGATGTGAGCTATATTAAACTCTGCGTGATGTAGCAGACTTACAGTGAAGGTACTCTGCCAGGTCACCTCCATTGCAATACTGAAAAGACAAGGAAGACAAGCCTTATTAGAAGCTTTGACAATGCCACCTAATTAGTGAATGTGATTTGCATAAAAAACAGAGCAGCCATTACCAATTCTAACACAACTCACCTCCATAACGAGATACACACATCCTCCCATTTCCTGTTGATGAGATAAAATGCAAATTATTAGCTGAAATACACTAATTGTGAGTAGTAAACTAATTCATAACTGATTTGATGAATGGTAATAAATACATCATATTTATGTAATGAAGAGAGATGGGTAATTAAGACTTATACCAACAATAAATCAATGCAGCTGTCGCCCCTGATTACACAACAAGTGACATCACCTCATTTCTTAGACTTTGTTTTGGCCTGTCACCAGCAGTGCTTCTAGAAATCCTGGGCCCTCTGACAACAACTAGTTTTGGGCCCCCTAAGTCATCCAGGAACCCTCCCTAATTTGACACCCTGTGTGTCGCCATGGAAAAAGTCACAGAGCGGCGAGGTGAGATGGGGTGGGGGAAGTTTAGGGTGTCAGTCCCACCTGACTTGAGCAGAGAGTGGGGGAGCAAGCTGAAACTTGTTTGTCTTTTACATCACCGAGTCAAAGTTAGTATGCTCTGTGTATCGAAGTTATTGTATAAAACACCTTAATAAGTATCACTGTAACAGATAACAGAGAGCACATATTGTTCAGATACCAGGTGAATTAACACATTACCATCTCAATCTAAAGCCATTATCCTTGCATGTTGTTGCGTGCCTGCTGGGAGACGACACGCTGCTTTTAAAGCCATTGTTTAGCTGGCTACACCCTGCCATCTGTCAGAAACCCTGATCCCATGTGTGGCTGTCTGGCAGGTGTCAGTAAGGTGAGAAGAGGAACGCACACACACTCATGCAAACTAACATCCAAGCAAATGGTTAATGTTCCGAGTGTTGTGTGACCTGTTTTACAATTTAATGTTTGTACTCTATGGCATACAGGAAAACACCCGACAAACTCTCTACAGTCTTTTACAATAATTAATTTGAAGGAAAACTGTGTAATATAAACTACAGCTCCAGTTCAGGTGACTGAGGCCTGCCAGCTCCATAAAAAACTACAATATCCATCAGCCATATCTGCATTACATAAGCAAATGACGTTTAATGTTTCCGCAACATGTCAACATTTGCAACATGTGGCTGGGTTATGGTTAGGCCTACAGTATTGTTGTGCATGTGTATTACCGTTAATGAGGAAAGGTACTGTGTGAGAGGAGAGAGGGAAGGCCAGCCATTCTCACCTGATAGTCAAGTAGTCTAACAATATTTTCATGTTTGAGTTCCTAGAGGAGGTAGGAAAAAACATTTTAGTTAAAGGTACACTGAGAAACCGGTGCAGAATGTATGTCAAAATTAAAGAAGTGATCATTACCTTTAAGATTTTGATTTCTTTACCAAGCAGAGACTGGGATTTGGCCAAGTTTTTCTTATTGATACACTTCACAGCAACCTCCCAGTCACGTCTCTGAAAAAAAGTTTATAAAAATCAGAGCTTTACATGCAGCATATCAACAATGACCAGACAAGTTCCAAATTTGTCTCGGTTATAAAAGTTACCTCTTTATGTCTGCCTTTGAAAACAACTGCAAAGGCACCGTGGCCAATCAGGTCTTTCCTGTTGAACTCAAACTTCCCGACGGACTCCATTGGTAATAAAAAAATAAATAAACGCGTTAAAGTATCCGAGCAGGTTCAGGAGGCTGATTTTCCAAGAGAAACAGACGTACGATCCAACGACACGTCCCTCGTGCCGGTAAATCCCATGTCATTGATTATAAAGTACTGTCTTCACACGTGACAAGATTCATAATCGAACCTAAATATCGATGACAACATTACGAAGTTTCCGTCAACACAAAAAGTTAAAACAACGTGCGCAGGAGTAAAAAAAATGTGTGTAAACAAAATGTAAGCGAGCCGCTGTGTGTATTTAACGGTTAAAATGAGTTCCTGTCGCTTCTCTAGAGCCGGTACAAGTTAAAAAGTTACAGGTTTGCAGTTAAATGCTGTTTGTATTCAGAAACTGAGCTCAGATATTATGATCTTCCTCACCTTTCTACCCATCTGCTGGAGTTATTCATATCTCACGGCGAGCATGCGCAAACAGGCCGGCAGACGTTTGACGATGGCGCCTTCAGGGACACCTCGTAAACTCACAATTCGATGTCTTAATTTGGCAAACACTTATTTTTAAATTCTATATCAAGAAAGAATCATTATCTAAAATTAGTGTCATGGTGGCTTGTATGTCTAAGTCTTATAATACTGTCACTGGTCAAAAATACACTTTGTACATACACTCAAATTAAACAAAGCTTACAGATATATTCAAAAATTGCTAAAAACAACTTCCAACGTAAAATGAAATTCATCACAATCCAACACAATTACCCTCAGTTAGTGAGGGAAATTCCGTCTTTCCTCCATTAGCTTAGTGTAACATATTCAAGCAGAGTAATACCCGCCACAAGGCCCAATTAAAAACAGGACTGGCCTTCAGCTGTCAAACCAAAGAGGCCATCAAGACACCTTCACAGGAAGTGTTTGTCCCCTCAGGATTTCTGTAACCTTGCTCGGCCTAGTGCTCTCTACTGACACAAAACATTTTAGGCATTCATGGCAGGGGCCTACTGTCTCACAATCCAATGATGCTTAAACACAACAGAAACAGTAGCATAGATACCTGCCACTGCCAAACTGTTGTTTGTTTCAAGAAGTCATTGGTGAGGTTCTGTCCAATCCAGTTGAATCAGTCACATTGACAGTAACTTTCCGGTTTTGGTATTCTGCATAGTCGCCCTTAACAAAAATAGATTAATAATATATAATAAAATAATTCACAGGTACACACACAAGTATCCACCAAATAGCATAAGGCATACTGTAATAAAGACGACACTGATTCCTTGTCATAAACATTTTTTAATAAAGATAATTGGAAGCACAAACCATAGTACCATAAGACAACAATCATCGGAGGCCATATACAGGCTTAGAAATACTGAAATATTTAACTTTAAATCTGACAAGAAAAGTGAGCGCAGAGTGACCTACAGTAAATCCTGTTTTAGGAAACTTAATGTTGGTACAGTGTAAGATCAATGGCATTTTAAAACGTGCCATCTCCCTCCATTCTCACAGTATGTTAAGAAAAAAAAAAAGCAACAACCTCATCAAGTCCCTCTGTTGCAGAACATATTTCATATTTTATCGTACAAAAAATTTATGAAAATGTAAAAGAAATTAGCAACAGAATAGCTAGAGACGCCATAAAACTTCACAGAATTGTGTCCAAAACACAACCAGTATTCACTATTCATCAAAAAAGCAAAACATACTGCAGCTTAGTAAGATGTGAGGTACTGCAGTCAGTTCATTTAGGAAAGAAAACACACAAATAAACACAGAATTTAACATGAGAACACACTGATTGTTGAGCTGTGACACTTTAAAAGGAGACATGATAAAGAACTCAGAACTCACAAAATAAATAAATACATTATACCAGAATAACATAGGGTCTAATTCACTGCTACTTCATCCACATCTGGGGACAGCACAACATAATATTGTGTTGTGCTGTCCCCAAATGTGGATTAAAGCTGTATGAATCAGGTGAATCTTTGAGAAGTTCATCCAGGTAAAATTGGCAATTTGTCCTTTATGTTGATGAATACTGTTAATAGCTGTTGAAGCCATTATGTCGTTGATTTTAAGGAATAAATCTAACACTATAGTTAAAGAAAATTATACTTTAGTTTATACTTTCCTTAGTCTTTTTCTGTCTAAGGTTATGCATTTGTCTCCAAACATACCCTGAAAATACTTAACATTACCATCTCAAATTTTAATGTTACATTTTCTGCATGTAAATTAAAGCAGACATAATCACACTAGTTTACTGTGTGAGACATGTCAAAACATGTCACTGTGATTTAAAGGAATAGATTGACATTTTAAACAGTAGGCTTTCCTGCCGAGAGTTAGATGAAAAGATGTATGCTAAAAATGAGGCTACCCCTATCATCAGATGGCATACGTTGGCATGTTAGCTTGGTTGAGCACAAATTCTGGATACAGGACACAGCTAGTCTGGCACATAATGCTAAATATGCAATATGTTGTTTTTACACCTTGTTTACGCTTTTTTTTTTTTTATAGATTAAACAAAGGCAATATTACACATTAACTACTGAGCTTTGGAGGTGGTGGTAGGCAGGTTTTGTTACCTATGGACAGTGCCAGACCAGCTGTTTCCAGTCTTTGTGCTAAGCTAAGTGAACTAGCTGCTGGCGTTAGCTTCATATTTACCATGTAGACATGACAAGTGGGTTCAGTCTTCACATGCAACTCTTGGCAAGAGACCAAACAAGTGAAATTCCTAAATGAAATATTCCCTTAAATAAACTCTGGCCAACCAGTAAATCAACTGCAATATACAGATGGACGAGGCAGCAGACAACTGAGACGCTCCACTACAGAGAGCGTCATTGCCAGACCCTGAATTACCCTCATGGATCTTAAGACTCTGTCACTTCACTGACCTTCTCCTCAGAGATCCCTGCTCTTGATTTTGGGAACACAAAATGTTTTTATGACACAGTAATCAGGCACAGTCCTTAGAGTCTGTTTGTCTTTAAATGCAAAGTTATTATTCAGTCACACAACACCTCATTTGGCAGCACTTTCTCTTCAATGGATGAGAATCCAATTCATTACATAACATAGTGGGAGAATGCTCTGGCCAGTGTTTGTCGTTCTACACTAGTGAGCTTCAGATTGCTCTCCTGCCACAGACAGAAATGGTGATCTGTGGTTCTACACTGCGGAGAGGTCGATACGATTGGCTGAGTTGGTGCTTTTGTCCCATGTGTTCATCTTGGTGGGATTCACGCCCTCCTTGTTTCCATTCATCTAGATTAGAAGATAGGAAGGACAGAGTTTGACTCAGGCAGCCGAGAGGAGAACAGTTCTTTTTTTATTTAGTTAACCTTCAGCATGAGCACTCACAATGTCAGAGTTGAAGGGCTTCACATTGATGTTTCGGATGGAGCTGCTGGTCAGAGACCACACCTTGGTTTTGTGTTTGAAAGCAGCTCTGACCTACAGAAAGAAGTAAAGCCATGGACAATAATGGTGACAAATGGCACACAAGGTATGTACAAATACACTCATTTTATAGCATCACTCTAAACCTGAAAATGGATCATAACAGAGAACAATGTCCCTTTTCCAATAATTTACATTTACATCTACATGCACTCATTCAGCAGACGCTTTTATCCGAAGTGACTTACAAGTGAGGGACAACACTAAAGCTTCAAGATGTTGAGAGTAGAGAATTATTTACCTCAGAGTTGAGAAGACAGTGAAATAAGAAAACAAAGAACCCCTAAAGAAAAAGAAAACATGTCAATTTTAGGAGGAAATTCACAAATGACTCCTCACAATTTAGAAAAGAAATTATGCTGTGGTGAAGGACTTACTTGTAATGAGTTGAACACAGCAAAGATATATAGGAATGGCAAAGAGTGTGTGTTGACAGCAAGAACACCAAAGATCCAGGAAATGCCGAGTATAGGCAAGAGCACAGCTACTGCCTTTGCAGTCAGCCTTGGAACAAAGTAAGAGACAACCATGTTTATATTATTAGATTGTTAGCTTTTAATAAAAGGACAATATTAAAAGATTTTTGGTATGATCATGAAAAGAAATAAACTCACTTGACTGCATTGGCATCTCCATGAACCTTGTAATTCTCTCCACTGATGCGAGATATGATCCTGGTCACAGATATCAGAATGCCTATGTTCACCTGAATACATTTAACACAGAGACACGGGAGATGCGATTTTGTGTGTTTCATTCTTGAATAAAATAAAGTCTTTGTGTGAATACAGACGAAACTGTTGATAAAACTGTAAAAAAAGACAAATGCTAGTTTTTGCAGATTCCTCACCAAAATGACAAACAGAGCCGGTGCCACAAACGCCCAGATGGCTCCATTCTTCATTGACAGCCAGCAGCTGAGAAAGCAAGGAGAGGTGCAAGAGTGAAAAATCAGACTGTGTTCCCTTCCAAGCAAAAATGCTATAATGCTGTAATGTAAATATGGAATGACATACGTGGTAAATGTTAACCTAAAGGCATTGGAATAACATTAATGACACAGTTGTTTCCAATTTATTTCCACAGGTGATGTAATTCTTTCACAATGCCACCGAGCTTAAATAGAATAAAATTAATATAAGTCAGACTTACTTGTCAACCTCGCCGTAACTGTCCAGAGCTGATGTAATGGACACCACGCATATTACCAAAGGAGAGCCTGGTGATAATCAAAGCAACACACATGTTACACACTCACAAATGTCACATAGTCCCCATGACTGGATTTACCTGCTAAGGGGCCCTGGGGAAAAAAATGTGATGCAGAGCCCTGTTCACTCCTTATTTCTCCCACTCTCCTTGCACTCTTTATGTACCCTGTTGTGTTCAGGTACCAGTCAGATACAGGGTCTACACTCTTCATAACATTGTTCCATATTGCTACTTGTGTTCAGAAACTCCACAGGGTGCGTTCAATCAAATCTAATCAAGTCATACACTACATGTGAGATTTTGACCAGTTCACAAGGCTGGTGATCAACACAATTTACCAACACTCTTATGTTCTTAGGACTGGGCTGGAAACAAGAGGGTGATTTATGAATCATCTGAAAACAGCCGAAAAGGGTCTGACATACAGGTTATGACAGATTTAAACCACATAGTGATTACAAAATGGTGTTTTGACTTCCACAGTGTCATCCGAACATATGCCTCAGTTCATTTTAACAAACAGCCTTGTGGCCTTGTTAAACACAGCGACACATGGTAAACTCCACCCATAGTAGCACAGCGGTTTTATTTATCTGCTGCTCTGCTAATTGCTCATTTCCACGAAAATAGCTCATTTCATTCTACTGCCTTGATCTTTTGGTTTGCCAAGCCTGAAGGTTTGTAGCACGCTATACTGCAAGGAAACTTTTACTTTGGGACAGGAAATGAAAGATAAAGTAGTCAACAGACCTTATCACAGCTAATAGAAGCAGCAATTCATTATAAAATGAGTATTTACTTTTTATGTATAACAGCTATAGTTCTGTCAGACAAGTCTCCAGCACATAATTTGCAGTTGGCCACACAAAATGAAAAATTACTCTGGCTAGAAGAAAGGAAGTAATAAAAAGGGATCGTTTTTCCACTAATGGGTTCAGCATGTGAAGGAGAGACTATGCATTCCCCAGCAGCCAAAGACAGTATACGTATGTCCCAGGTTCTTTTTATCTGTCCATCAACTCCAGTTCACTGAGATCAGGAGAGCCAATTGTTATGCTGGAATTTTGTAACTCAAAGCAGATTCAGACCCAAGAGCAGGGTCACAGTTATTTACCTGCCACAAATAATATTTGATCATGAAGGTGAATTAAAAAATACTGAGGTCATATTTACAGTAATGGGCTGGCATAAGGAAGAGGCAGAACACTGGGACATTAAAATACAATGGCATACTGTATTCTTGAAACAACAAGCAAGAAAACGAAAATCACACAAACACCAAAACAAAATCACACAAGGAATACATTACAGAAGTAAGACTGGTATCTTTCTTAGCAGACCTACCCCAGCCAATGCCATAGTAGTAGAAGTGTTTGCTGCCCTCGGAGCCGAACACCTTCACCACCATACTGTAGAGGTGGAGGCCCTCCACCAGCATCCAGGCGAAGGCGCTCAGGAAGAAGAAGTGGAGCAGGATAGCCATTACCTTACAAGGCAGCTGGGACAGGGGACACAATCAGCCTTTTACCATTAAAATATTCAATTTTTTATTCAATTATTTTGTATGCCTTATTATTAAAAAGTATTTTGCTAATTGCCATTAACCTTTTATCTTTTCCTCAATCCTGTTTTCATTTCCATTTTTTTTCCTTTTAGATTTATTATCTTTCATTCATGATTTTTTAGTTGTAGTCGCAAAAAGCTGCATTTTACCACATTTTACATTTTTACGCCATAGTCCACTTCATACATCATCTCAGTATTTAATCTAATGATCTCAAGATTATTAGAATCAACAACAAAATCTGTACCGTGTACCTACCGTGCCCGGGTCGAAGCGAGCGCTGATGAGCAGTAAGATCTCGGCCACCAGGATGGCGAAGGACAGGTTGGCGTGGATGTGGTAGCGCTGGTTACGGATGGTACTCACTGACCTGCAGAGCAACGCAAGGACAACATCACATTAACTTAGTACCAGTGCCATATAAAAGATAAAAGATGTGTGTTTTGAATACAGATATACAGTACATGTACTGTACATGTTAATGACCAGTAGTTTTATGTAATAAAATATGCAGTATATGTTAAACACAGTACATTCAGCTCATGTGTGACTGATTGAGTGATTACTCACGACAGGACTGCAAAGGTGACCAGAGTGATGGCAAGACAGAAGATGGAAATTGAGCAGCCAACATAACCAATGGCTGATAGTGCCACCCGGTGGCCAGTAGTGAGCTGTGCAGGGAGACAAACCACCATCAACAAGGGACAAAAAAACATGTAAAAACCCAATTATTTTGCCTACATGATGGGTCGGTACATTGTGCCACCAATGCACATGCATAGCTAGCTAACCTGTTTCATTCAGCCTGTATCATTAGCCAAGGAATTCAAAGGGGCCATGTAGAGAACACAATACTGACTCATATTAGTGTTTCTCAGATTATTTTCTCAGTCGTAAAGCTTTAGCAAAACCCTCTAGGGTTAAATATAGTAAACTAACATTGGAATTACAAGTCACTTCTTTGCAATAGTAAGAATTCATATATGCCCGTTTTTTAATCCATATTTTAGATACAGTTACAAACCTATTTTTTATGATTCTGGGATAACCAAATTATGCATTTTCCAAGAGGCTAAAGAGTCAGAGACAGTGATAATTGTGTCCTTCCATATGCACATATCCATTGCATATGGCCTTGTGCATTGGTGCTGTTTTGGAGCTCAGGCTATTTTAAGGATTTGGGTTTGATTCTCCATTAACTGTCTTCATATGTGCCTTGTCATTACGAGGGCAGAGGAGTCTCAGCCTTCCAGAAAAGGGATATGTGGGATGTTCCCTCGCAGCTGAGGGATAAGGCAGCCCACTAATTAAAGACTGGCTGAGGGAAAGTATAGCATCAAATGGACTTGTGCTCCTTAAAATCTGCACTGGCCCACTTAACTGCAACAAGAAGTCCTCTATTTAAAGAAGCCATCATGGATGCTGACAATACTCCCATGGCACATATTCTTGGATAACAAAGATTTAGACTTAGGTGACTATGTACTGTACATAGGATTGTCGTTCCAAGTTGGTCTTTATGTAGATAATGTAAATGTAAAATACTGCAGGACAGTGTTCAGAGAAAAGGAGAGAACAGAAGAGAAGAGAACAGAAGAGAAGACAAGAATAAATGTTATCCCTGATGTTTTGTAAGGACAGTTTTTGGTCTCTTGAGAGACTGTGGTCCTTGAGGAATGGACCACTGACCTGTGTAGCGACCCAAAAAAACCACACTTAATCATGGTTGTCCAGAGTACTTCTGTATAAAACCACAAGTGAAACCGACAGTGTGACTGTGTAGGTCTGCTTACTGCTGACCTACAGGGGGGGAACCAGAAACTGTCCAAAAGCTGCAGTGGGGGCCTCTGGTTGGTGGGTTACAGTGTGGTAAGCCACTGCTTCCTGCCCAATTATGCTCCTACAAATCTACTTATTTTGTGACAAAGACACAGAGGGAGGGACACTCTTTTGTGTGCGGCTGGGATAAATCTCCTCTAAGAAGTAGGTGGTAGTTTACTGTTTCTGAAAATTTCTCAACAACAGATTTAAGGTAAAGCATTATGGTGAAAATCATCAAGGAGCCTTTGTCACAGCAGACATTTCGACTTGTTGCAGCAGGAAAAGCATAGGTGCAACTACTCATTCTATTCAAATGTCCCAATGAGCCATGGAAAATACCAGGAAAATACCATAGACTATGGATTATTATAAGAACTGGATACTGGATTCAAAGATGGTGTCCATGCTTTTGAACGAAAATTGCTCCCACTCGGCCCATAGACTTTATGTTGGGATGACATTATGCACATAAATCATGCTTTTCAAGGCTCAGGAAAAGTTTTACAAATATAAAAACTCCATGGATAGAGAGATTTACTATCTTATCTTATAAAGTTGGTCTATGGGGAAAATGTTTTTTGATCCACATTATTGTGAGATGTCAGTGGGACACAGCAAGTCTAAGTGCTGGCGTCCTATCGAGCTCTATTAATACAGCGACAGCCAGGACACTGACACTGAAGCAACTAAATAGAACCCAGCTTGAACTTTTCCTTCTCTGACATGTCATAATGTCCTCTGTGAAAAAGGCCTACGTTAAACCTAAAATAATGAATTCTATTAGACATTTGGGGGCAGCACAACAAGCTATAAATAAAACACTGACATATTATGACCTTATGAAGTTGATGTGGCCAATGTTTTAGCAAACAGTTGCCTATTCCACACCCAAGAGACATGGCCTCCTGTTTCTGGCTTCCTGGTGATTCTAAGCGCAATATTTCCTCTTCTTTTGGCTATTTAGCAGCTAAATGCTCCACTATGTTTATCAGCCAGTTGCTAACGTTGTCTGTCTGCCATTTGATGGTGAGCAGTTAGCATACACTGGGTCTATTAGAGCTTTTTCACTTAAGAGAGCTGGTTTTAAGGTTCAGTTTCTGAATACAGGCTGTGTCCATTTCTCTGTGGACTGAGCGCTTTGATACTTTCACAGCATTAATACAAAACCTAAACCTGCTTTATAATCAAAAAAGACATGGAAATCTCACTTTATACAATAAGGGACCTTTAAAGTTGTGGGCAGTAAAGCCAGAACAATAAACTGAAAGAAACTAAAGCACTCCACAGGGCTGAAGGGAACTGCAGAGTCTAGTGATAATACTTTGTGCTCACATTAGACATAGACATTTGATCAGTTATTAAAAAAAATACAAAAATATTAATTAGAGCAGCTTTAAAGTGCAGCCAAAATGTTGTACCTTTAAGGGCACTACTTGCATAAGGATGGCAAAATTGGTGAGGTGGTTGCACAGACATACAGAGTACGTCATGTTTCCATCTGAGCGCACACAACCTTCGTTGGACCACACTCCCTCATTTGAACTGAAAAGCATGACAATTAGGAATTATTTACAGACAAAATATATTCAGAAATATATCAACATAGCAATGTTTGCACGGAGAGAAAATACAGTAAACAGAAAAAAACTAGACATGTTTTTTTTTATAGGAACACAGCTGGCAGAGATCACTCAACATGATCCACTGTGGGAGGCACACAGTGACATTTCTTTGCAGAATTTACCAGGGCAATCTGACAGGACAATCTAATAATTCACATTTTTCTTGAGTTTCAGGGCAAAGAGGAGTAAGGAGAGGAAACCTTTGAATCCAACTAAAACACACTCCCTTTTAAAATGATTTATGCTTTCTAAATAGTGTTTTGGCTCCATTTATCAGATCTTCATATTTTTACAGAGTGCTGTTGCTCAAGATATGCCAAACTGAAACAGCAACACATGTTACACTGGATGTTTTTGATTTGAATGAGAAAAGGGAAATACACCTTTTCCAAATCATTTCTTATGATTTACAGCCTAAAAGACTCAAGCAAAGAATATGAAACGAGTCAACAATCAAGATAAAATCTCTTTGGCTCTGCATCTGAATGAATAATTAAGATGTAGTGTATTTAAATCATGAACACAAACCCACCTGTAGTCCAAGAAGGCACAGTAGAGGAAGACTTTATTGCTCTGATTTAGTACTTGGTCCTGCTGTTCTTTAGTCTGAAAAAGAAAGGTTGAATAAAATTGAGATCTTTAATTGCGAGAGAAAAGTATGTGAGATAGGAAAACATTTGCCTTTGGGTTGTGCTGGCGCATTAAATTACATGCTTTGTTCTCCCAAAACTAATAGCAACCTGTTTGGAAAATGTACTTTGACTTTGATCCAAAGGACAGCATGGAATATTTCAGACAGCAATTAGCAGCAGTCTTTCCTTAATGCGCATTGGCTTTTTTTCCAACTATGCACTCAACAACAACATCAGATCTAGATAGATTAGTAAAAAAATAAAATGAATGAAAGAATACTGCACAGTTACAGTGCAGAAACTAAAGAGATGTAAAATGCTGCATTATTTTTTACTTCTGATACAAAATAAAAAATGATTCACTGGTGCTTAAATCCTAGGAAACGAAGACTTCAACTAAAGAGATCTGAGATCATAGAAAAGGAAAGACAAGACGCAGATCGACACTTAGTGAAGGTGATTATTACCCTGAGTGAAAATCCCTACTGTCTTTAAGAATCTTATTTGATTATAAATCACTTTTTCCATGTCATTCCTTAATATGAGATTTGGAGTCCCAAGAGACAGTGAGCTAATGGCTAGAGTGCAAGAATGCAATAATTGGGGCTTGGCCCTGGTTTCAGGTCAAACCACTACCCTCCTCAATCTGTCATCTGAAGAAAACAACACTTCCATTGGCTGCTTGTATGTACACTGAGAGACTCCACACCTCTCCTCATTCCCCGAGCCTTGACTCTCAGACTGAGTAAGTGTATGATTAGATGGACTGTGTCTGCACTATTTCCTTCTGGAAAAAGTGAGAGCGAGAGTGAAACTGACTGTCAGGCTGTCTGTTTCCTGGCCCATAGGCTCCGTGATTCATATTACAAAGCATAGCACAATACGTTGACTTCATTGTGTAACCAAATCGCTGCTCTCATTCTGTCTGTTTCACACATGCAGCTCTTTAGTCATCGTGTAGTGTGACCCTCAAGATGAATACAATGGATGGATATTCATTTGGCCCATTAGAGCAGGCAGGACAATGGGTCCAAGATCCATGAGAGCGCAGTAAATGCAGCCCGTCATCACAAGCCGACGGCCAGCTTAGAGGAGCTGCAAGCAACCCCGTGGGTGAATTTACTGCTCCCCCGTGGCCTTTAATAATTCACATTTCTTTTTGTGTTTTAAATGAAAGCAAATGGAAGAGAAACGAACTGTAACTGGCACACAGTTGTAAGTCTTGCTGTGCAATGTCATATTTGCTCTGCACACTTGCTGAGCCTTTAATGTTGCTGTGCAATGAAGGAAGACTAATTATCCACATTAAACACAAAATGTAAACCCTGGCTCATGGGAAACAATCCATCATCAAACCATGATACGTACCAGACACAAGCTAAAATATACATTAACTAACAGACCATCACACATACAAGGCGTGCTGCTTTGCCATGCTTCCTCTCTAGCAACTGTCTGTTTGTGGTACATACAGCATGTGTTTTTCGAGTTGATAGCCGAGGAGAGGTGCAGGAACCTGAAAGTCACTGGCGAGTGTTAAAATGCACACGGAGATCTGGCCCAGCTCCGTGAACACGCTGTTGTTACCACCCCCCGTTGCCTCGAGGCCTCAGCATCTATACCAGCCAAGACTGCGGCTGGCGCTCCAACTCTTTATTAGCAACAGAAGGCCAGCAAACGCCGCCTTGGAAATCACTTTGAGCATTGAAAGTAGAATAGATGCAGAGAGGAAGAAGAGAGAGTGAATGCTAGTGACAGGAGAGTGATGCAGAGTGACGCGCTGATAACTGAGAAGAGCCTGAGAGAGAGAGACAGAGAGGGAGGCTGATAAATCATAGATAACCAGTGTCTCTGGTGCTTCTATGTTTGATTCAGTGCAGCTTCATCTACACTCGCTGACACCTCTGTAGCGGTGGAGTTCAAAAAAATCTAAAATGTTTTCATCTCCAGATTCACCAGCAGTGGTGAAAGAAATACTCAAGTCCTTTACTCACATTATAGTAATGTAAGTAAAGGTAATGTCATGTATGTCATGAATGTATTTTTTTTTTTATACATGACATTTTTAGAGGCATAGTTTTTCTGTTGTACCTGGTGACCTAACTACTTCATATTCATGTTAGGTAGTTTAATCCAGCGGTTACCAAGCTAGGGTCAAGCTTTCTGCAAATGCTCACAAGATAAACAAAATTGATTATCTGGTTACAATTACATGTCATACAAAACGCATTTGCTATTGGAGTTTAGTTGTATTATTATTTCCAAATTGTACTCAATAAGTATAATACTAGAGTAAATGTACTTCGTTTCCTTCCACCCCTTGGACCTCATACACGAAGTGAGTCATTGATGTTATTATCTAGCATTTGTCTGTTGTCTGTTAAAATCATTTGTTTGTTATTCACTATCACACAGTTAAGGAGCAACCAGATTTTACATTTCACTGCGAGTTGTTCAATTATGTATATGACAAAGAAATAAATCTTCAATCTTGAACTCTTAAAGATTGAATCTTTACGATGAAACAGCCGCATGGGGATAAAAATGCTGTGAATCATGATGTGTCTTAGCTGCCATGCCATCATCACAACATAATTGATATATGATGGTGTTTTACATAATAGATATTCAATGGTGTATCCTGATGACTTGCAAACAGAAACACATCCCTATCTGTCATTTACGCCAGCACATCCAATCAGTTGTCATTGGGAACAAAAAACCTTCAACATCAACATGAGAGCCATTGACTGTCATCTGATATGTATATCCCTCTAACCCACCTTGTTCGTTTTCTTTTTAATGACTGTGTTGATCCTGTTGAGTAAAATGATGAGGGGTTAAAATAAACACTCTCATTTTAAGCATTGTCATAGATGACAATCAGAACCCGGCAATTTGTTGTTGGTGTCTTTCAGACCTCCCGTGATTGGCAGAGCTGTAAAGCCGCAGCCTCGCTGTGGTCGAGCTATAGCTGCAACAAACACCGGACAGCATATTCCTCAGCAAATACCAAGACACAGGCAACACCAGGCCAATTTAAGTCTTAGCTGTTGACAGCTGGTTCTCAAGCGAGGCACAAATAAAGAAAAGATGGAGAAAGCTACACAACATCCATCATGTTGTTTCAGTCAGTTCAACACAGACCAGCTATTGCTGGTAGAAATGCACCACACGGTCTTGAGGTATACACACACACATGCACACATACTACACATACTGCTGAAATAATTATGTTGTTTTTTGAAATAAAACTCTCAAACTCATTAACATGCAGCTTTGTATAAACCACCAACATTTAGGCATTCAGAACTTCCACAGAAAATTCCAACATTAAAATTATATTTTAAAATGACCACTGTTGTGTCCAGTAACACTGTATAGCAGTGAAACTAACAACAGTAGGCTACTGTTGACAAACTCATATGGAAATATGTAATAATAAAAAATAAATGTTTCAGTTACAGAGAACGATAAATTTAATCAAATCTGAGCTCCAATTGTAAGAATATGAAATATTCTTATATATTATTTAACCAGAAATCTTAAATTTTTGGTCCATTTACGTGTATTTTTCCAGAGCTTGATATGAACTCGAGAGCAATGGACATGGTTAAATGCTATGGAAAGAGCCTGTGAGAGGACCTTGAGTTGAGATTTTTTTTTTTTTCTTTTTCAAATTTCAAATATAATTTATGAAAAAGTCCTGCACTCACCCACTCATTCCATCCAGCACTGGCACAATCATATGCAGCCACAAGAGCAGTCAGAAATATTTCAGGAGCAGAGAAGTCTAAATAAAGGCTTCGGTTGTGCTAAATTTAAAAAGCAGTGAAACATTACACAACTGTGTGAGCGAATAAGTGAGCGATCTTCTCCTTTTTTTCCTCAAACGTTTCAAATTTTTGAGAGCACAGAGAGCCAGGGTGTAATTTGGACTACATTTCTGTATTTGGTATAGATATCATCTTTTAACAGTGCAGCTGCCAGCGGGGCCTATAACAGCACTGAAGCTCATCAGTCACACTTTACTTTACTTTACACAACCACAAAACTTAATTTAAAGCTACCGTCATATTTTTCGGAAGTCTACAGTAGGTGAAAGTGTTAAAATATGAGTCAACACAAAGGCTGGCTAAGATATGGCCAGGGGTTTGACAATGGCTAAATTGTTCTGTATAACAACGGAGAGGCTATACATGCATTTCCCAAAAGCTACATTGACTGCTGTTAAATGTAGTAAGGAAAAGAAACACTTTATTACAGTATGTCTGGGAGAGGTATGGTGTAATATTACTCAATCCAGCAGCTAAAAAAAAAACAAAAAACAACCGGCTCAAACTTTGACCTGGAGTTTGAGAAAAACCTTCCCCTTGAATCACCTTAAGGTCAGTATATTAAAGTATCACACTGATGGAGCACAGATGTCATCGTTGTTGTAACAGGGCTTTTCAATCAGAGGCCAGACTTAAGCTGATCCACATACAGCATGTGGAGTAACAATCTGAATCCATGCAGCAAAACACAACTGGCCTTGAGTGAGATCATGCCGTCAGGGGAGATGTAATAAGACATGCAGCTGTGGTCTCAGCTCAGTCTCTGAGGTAGACGCAGAAAACAACGAGACGTGTTGATAGGCATGCAGGGTGTGAAGAAAACTGGGGACAATTAAACAAACCCAAAAGTTACAGGGTTGTTTTAGATACGGTGAGTGGTGGAAGTTCAGTGACTATTACTTTGGTTCAAAACAACAAATGTGACAAGTGTTTTTTTTTTTCTTTTCCTTCTTGAACTAAACTCACATGACAATGGGAGAGGTTCTCCATGCTTGAATTCATGTGTTCAATTCCCACCGGCTTTCATATGGGGCCACTGGTTTCTGGCCAGTTTCTGCAGGAACAATATGTTTGCATTCATAAGTTGAGGGCTGTTTTTTGAGCCTTTGCAGAGAAGTTTAAATGTGGGAAATATACTACATCAAATAAGGTGCCAATAACATTTTTAGCGCATGATATTCAGTGATAATTTCAAACTCTGTAATTCAAGAAAAGTGACTTCCATTGTCAAAATAGCTGAACATTATTTCCCTCATACCCTCTTCTGAGCCTATAGAAACACTCATATAGACAGAATCAACACCAGCACCTTTTCTACTTTTCCTCTGGGCTAAAGCCCTGCTCTGCTTAGCACGTAACAGGAGGTGGTGGTCGCAAGGTTGAGGAGTGGTGATAGAAAGGGGGGCGCTCAATGGGAGGAGCCGTAGAAAGAGACTCTAAATCTTTTAGCAAGAGAGGCATAGCAATAGCCAGACCGCCATCTGTGATTGATCAGTATGTTGGCTCACAGAGTCCCTGTTTGTATGTGTGTGTTGGAGTATGGATGGGTGTGGGTGGCTGGGAGAGGGAGAGAGAGAGAGAGAGAGAGAGAGAGAAAGGGAGCGAGAGAAGGAGGAGAGCTTTTGCCCACAAGGTTTAAGCTGGGCGTGTGCTGGGAGTTATAAAAAGACTGGCAAAATAAATAGCAGTTATTATTGTGGCAGAAAAAGAACTGATACCAGTACTGGCATATGAGATTGAATGATTAAGAGCCAGGGTATCAGAAAATGTTAAATAACCTTTGTGTGTGTATTTTCAAAGCTGCTGAACAATTAATCCATTATTCTCCACACGTATAGGAAGCTCCAACAAGTCTAGACATCTTTGTAAACACAGGCCACCCAGTTCCCCTCTCTGCCCCTGACCTCTTTACTCACTTCCCATCAAACTCTCCTTCATGCTCTTTAAATTATGGGAGGGAACCGATGGAGAAAACCTAATGGAAAACTTAGTCACTAACAGTCCAGTCCAGTCACTTACTGATAGTAATGATTAGGTCAACTGAGTCAGTGTGATAAATTCAATACTCATATTTTCTTAGGTTTTAACTTACTTTACTTACTTTCAATATATTATCAAATATATTAAACTTTTATTCAGTGTGTGTAGAAAAGAAGAAAAAATTAATTCAGCTCTTAAGCTCTTCAACGGCAGGCCAAGAAGTGGCCCAGCACATAACCCCTGATAAAACAGTGTACTGCCTGAATGAATGAACTGAACCGAGTGATGCTAATAAGTGAGATTTAAAGGTGCTGGTAAGCGGACTTTTCTGCTAGCTGTTTCCCTCTGTTTCCAGTCTTTAAGCTAAGCTAAACTAACTAGCGGCTAGCTGTGGCCTCATATTCGATGTACAGACTATATAGTGGCTATTTGTAAGTTTTACAAATTTTACAAAGAAATGTGCTGGTTAGCGTGCTAACTTCAGTAGAAGAAAAGACGGGATAGAGACAAGAGTTAACACTGGCATTGCTTTCCACTGCTGGAGACAGCTCTTGGCAAGTAAAGGAGTGAAGTTTGATGCTGAACTCCCATGTTTCTTCTAGACTGGTTAAGTAAACAGCTGTTAATGCTAACGCTAGCGAATCTTACAGATAGCTCCCTGAAGAGTGATATCAATCTTCTTCTCTTCTAACTCTCTGCCAGAAAGCAGATAATAAAATTTCCAACTATTTCTTTAAAGCTAATGGTTTGAAGTTCTACATTACATCAGAAATGAAACAAAATAAAAGTGAACTGAGGGACAGGTGGAGGCCACCACCGCTCTACCAGTGCTGCCACCCTGTTCCACCCTTCGCCTCGTCCGCCAAACTAACACACTGCTTTATAAGCCTGTAAAGTCAGGCCCCCATGTCAAAATCTGTTTTTTAAATCCTCTCAGTTTTGACCCTATAAATCGACTTTGCTCATGAAATCAATCTTTCCATTCATTCACTTCATACCATCAGTGTGATGCTTTGACAGAAGAAGAGGGCAGGGAGGAGGTGTCAGCCTTTTTATGTATGTATTAATGTTTAACTACAGACCCCAGTGCCTCCCACCCTCCTTTTTCTTCTCTTCTTCTCTCCTTCAGGCCTCTCAAACTGAACTGGACTCAGACAGGAGTCATAAATCACTGATGGAGCCAGGGTCCAATCAACACCACAGCCGAATGGCGTGAGAAAGCGCGTGGGCCTCCAGCAGCCTTGATAACACCTTGTCTGGGTATCAAACCCACTCCGTGCCACATAACGCGAGACGGCGGCATCTCGGCTCTGACTGAGTCAGCTGGGAATGGCATGACCTCAGCGAGATGTTTCAGTGAGCTCAGAGGACATCAATCAAGAGTGCAAGGTCACTCAGACACCCATCGCATGGCTTTGACCTTCACTGACTGGTACCTGCCATGTCACAAGGTTTGTTACAGGTCGGTGACTCCATCAATCCATGGTACGGTATTTTTTTATCATGGTAAGTTTCAGATAGAGAAAATGGATGACATTTGGGTTTGAGCCATGACAGTAGGTGATTGTTTGTACAGTACTAGAGGTGGCACACAGGATTTGTTGTAACCATGACAGCCTGAAAAGACAGATGAGGAAGCTGACATATTTCTGCTTTAGACACAGTCAGCCCACCTGCTAGGTTTTAATGAAGTCACTGGGTGCTTGTCTATTCTCAGGAGATAAACAGAGAGGTCAGTTGCAAATCACTTACTCTAGCCCACTGAACCGGTGCCATGAGAGGACATCTTTAAGGTTTAACTTGTGCAGAGAGTAAATGCAACGTAAACAATGGCGGGAAAGGTTTGCCACATGCTGTGTGAGCCGCCCTCCCTGCCTCCAAGCTAGGGAGGTGATAAGTATCCACCAGTTGCCAAAGACATTAAAACTCCAAAAATAGTCACTTTTTGACTAAATCCAACCACAGGTCTGTGCTGCAATCCAGTCATAGCAAAACAGCCCCTTTCCTGGACGTGTTCACAGCCAAAAGCACCGTGTGCCAAATTACGATGCAGCTCCTAAATATAAATCCAAACTATGCGGCCTTAGTAAAGCATGAAAGTGCTGGCACAGTGCGTTCCAATCAGTATGCATTAGTAATAAGTATAACAGCTTATTTGTCATGGGTTAGAGAGGAAAGAATGTAAGAAACCTGATTTATCCTTACATCAGAGCTAAAGGCAGTCCAACTAAAATAGAAACACCTTGACTCAACAGACAGCAGAGCTGGTGAGCATCTCCAGCACCCCCATAACAAAGGAGATTATGAGCCCTCTCCCATGGTGTCCACTAAAACAAACACAGTAATCATTGTCACAGAACCCAGGCCAGATAATTGCAGCATAAACATTTATTTCTCCAGGGAAAATGAAGGCAAACAAAGCAATATTGCCATGGTTTCACGAAGCCGCATGGTTTTGATTTGAACTCTTATGAGTGAGGAGAGAAAAAAATATTGGTCATTCACTTCAATAGAAAGTGAATAATTCTTGTAAGGGTCTTGTAAAGTAAACAGGACTACATTATTGGGCCTTTAGTCCACTGGTTTTGTCTACTGAATTATCAATGTTATTGTATGATCAATTAGGCTATTCACACAATTCATTTAGATTAAAAGAATGGCTTCAAAATCCAGTTACTGTGCAAAAAATGTACAAAAATATACATGGCTGTGAAATACACTGCTGCATTTCTGATTTTACAAGGAAGCAAGCTAATGCAATACACATTTTTAAGTTAATTTTTATTATGAGTTTCGACTGCATTTCCCAAGGAAAACTGGCACAGCCGTTGCCATAAAGCAGCAAGGAAAAAAACATGTTGTTCATAAAATAAAGTTATTGTTCCTTTCAAAGCACCCTAAGCCTACAGTTCAAATGTGCACAATCAGTTTGCTTTCTGGAAGCCACATGCTCCGTGAGGGAAAATTTAGGCAGGCTAATGAAAACCAAAATAGGTTTCACTCTTTGTGCTGGTGAGTGCCCGGCTGCACAAGCTTCGGTCAGTGACAGACACTCATCTACTTACATAACAGAACGCCAAAAATAGAGCTGATAGATTTCATATGGGGGGATCCGGCTACTGTAGCCACAGGCAGACCGTTGCCATCTTTCCACTGATAAGGTGGGAGTCCCACACCCAGCACCCTGCTCCTGCCAACTGGAAAAGCTGTCCATTTTCCCAGTATGACCGACTCACACAGAAAGTAAAAGGCAGATAAAGACATGAGTCAAATACAAAGAAAGTAGGACATAGTATGGGTTGAATCTTACCAGGACGTGGGTGAGGACGATCTTGATGAGTGGTGCTCCTGAGAGGTTGATTGACAAGGCTGGTGAAGGCTCCACTTTCAGAGAGATTAGACAGCTTGCTACCTGGATCTTGTGATCCTTGAAATCGGCTGCTTCGTTAATCCTAAGAGGCACAAAAAGAGAGAAAAACATAGAAGATGAAAGAAAAGAAAGGCAACGAACAGAGAGAAACAAATGCAGAAATTAGTAGAAAGAAAGAGAGAAAAAAGAGGTCTAGAGAGACAGAAACAGTCACATAAATCAGAAAAAAAATCTGGCACACACATCAACATAGAAGTGTTACACATGGGCCCAGAGCAGTAGCATTTAAGTGGGACTTTGATCATCTGTCTATAATCAGTCCCGCTGACAACACCAGTATTGCATCTGTAGTTTTCCAAGATCATCTGATATGTGACATTGGGATCAGACAAACATCACCTCTCTACAATGATACAAGGGTACTCTCTCACCCACAGAGGAGCCCGGCAGTGAGAGAGCCATATAAAAACAATCAGCATCAGACATCTCCAAATGTACTGTAACCTATCTCACACTCTGTACTTTAACTTCTACAAAGTATAAAGTGGTAAAAACATGTTGTTTAATCGCTGCTGTGTCAGGTTTGTTAAAACATAAACATTGTAGCACGAGTGGAACAAACTGGTCCAGACAATAACTGAGGGGGAAGGGGTGGGTATGTAGCGCTAATAGCAGGGTGTATCAGTTGGTGGAGGTTGAGTGGTGAGATGAGAGATAGGCGAGAGGACAGATAAGGCCCTGGCTCCAGGCATCAGCTGTCCTGTGGCTCAGGAAGCAGGGGCGCCTTAGCGCCAGTGGACCTGATTCCCCACACAGGAAGTACAAAGAGAAAATTCAAATTTACACTCAGTGATTTTGTTTATAACCTATTTTCCTGGATAAATCCCTTGCCAAAACAAAACTGGTATGGCAAAGCTTTTAAATTTAAATGTGATTAGATTAACTTTAGTTAACCTTTGATTGTGGGTGCTGTCCCTTCCTCTTACCTGGTCTTAACAGGGCTGATCTCATTGTAGTAGTTGTGCATGTTGTGGTAGAAGAGGCCAACGATCGTGGTTTGAGCTAAGGAAAAAAAAAAAAAAAAAAAAATTATAGTTGAATGTGAAAGACATGGACAGAGTGCTGGGAATGTAAAGCAGTGCTGCTAAAATGCTCACAAAGAAGGGAAGTTAATTAACGCCATCTTGCCGCCGCACGCTGGCACCGGCAGGCTAACAGGACTGTATACTCGCACAAGAGTGAAAGGGAGAGGGCTGCAAACCACGTGGATGTTGAGAAGTCTTATGAAACCTCTACATGACTTTACCAGGAGAGCAGGGGGTCTGATCCCCCGCCCCTAATCTGACCTATCTTCCAGCTCGGTCCCACATCAGTACTGCAAGATAAACAATTAAATTGGAGGAAATCCTTAATGGTCCTGTTCCTCCTTTCAAAGGCTTTTTTTTCCCGGGCCCCACTGATTGAGACAACAAAAGCTTGCTGATGTCAAAAAAAAGGGCGGTGTATATGCTGCAGGAGAGTTTCTAACCTTCCAAAAAATAATATCAACAGAATGACCCCCAGGAAGTCCTGCAAGAGATCTCGGGGTGGCCAGGAGGAGAGAGAATGAGAAAAAATATAGTAAAGTATCCAAAAACACCAATGTGTCGCATTCTCTGTATTTAATTAGAATATAAAACCTCTCCTTGGAGCATTGCATACAGCCAGGTATTCAGAGCTATGAGTTAATTTGGTCCTGGCTCGCGTGTGTCAGGCAATAACATATATTCCGTTTCTGATAATAGTCCTTTAATGAATTATTAAAACGGTTTATTCCAGTGTTCGTTCACAACGCAGTGCACGCAGCGGCCAGGTGGAGCCGAGGGAATCTGACCTGAACACAAAGTCAAACAAACTGAGTTTTAATGCCCACTGTAATTACTGCTCTCCTTCACTCCACTATGTGAGTCCATTCTTTTTAATGACAGAGGAAAGTGGAGAAAAAGTGCTCTCTCTCTCATTCTTTCTGTTTTGAATAAAAGGGTAACTGCCAACATTAAAGCCATGGCTGGATTTCTACGGTGCACCATAAAGCCACACAAAAGCTCTCATGGCACTCCTGTCCTACACTGTATGTTGTGTTAGTAGTCTTAAATCTAAGCATAATAAATTACTGGCCAATAACAAGGGTCTCCCAGCTGGACAATTTTCTCTTGGCTGAATCAGAGCACAAATAATGTGCAGCTTTCACACTCAACCTGGCTACTATTTTCTATACAGAGAATCCTCAAGATACCAAAGGTCCGTTTTGTACATCACCCAAGACATTTCACTGATCGTCTGCAATATTTGCACTTACACTGCATGGTGAAAGCCTCCCCTGGCACAGAGATGTAGTTCTTGCCCTGTGTGGGGAAGCGATAATGCGGCAGGTTGTAGTTCAGTGGGAGTTTCATCAAAGAGTAATCTGTGAGGGTAAGATATTAGAAAAAGTCAGAACTGTTGAGAAGAACAAACTGAGAAGCAAGCAACAAGACCAATCTGTTTAATCAGGGGTGGATCAAAGATGTCAAGCAACTCTTGGGAGACACAAGCAGGCTTAGTGGCAAACAAAATATTATGAAAAAAAAAAAAGAAGAAGAAGACCCACACCCATGAGAGGCAAAGTGGAGCAGGATGACCCCTGTTTATTTGACCCGCATTTGTCCTCTGAATGAGAAAACTAATGATGTCAGCTTGACGCTCCATGTCCTTCTACCCTAACCGTGTCCACACAAACTACAAACAGTGAGTCACCTTATGGAGAGATGACACCATACTGACCTGCAACAAAAGATGTTCCACCCAGGGAGATGAGAGAGTTCGGGCTGGGCTCCAGGTTAGTCACCATGTGTTCCATCACTCTGTCCACGGTCTCGATCAGACCGCTGACCACAGGGGTGGACTGCTGCTCAACAATGATCCAACACAAAAGTGTTCAAAATCAATTCACAGTCGATGTCCAGCATTGATTCATGCTGACCTATCGGATTCTGTCATATCTTTTTAAAATGAAAATGTTCTTACAAGGCTCAATTTACAAATATAAATTGTGTCAATTCAAAGGGTCATTCCACCAATTTTACACACCAAGCCCAATTCACTTGTTATGAAGAGTCCTCAGCATGTGACGACAGTTGTATAAGGTCTGTGATTATGGAGGGAACCTTTCAAAGTCTAAGAAAATAACCGTGACAATGTCGTCAGGGTTATCTCAGTTTTTTAGGAGTTTGAAAAACATGGGTATTTAGCAGGCAGGAAGGAACAAGGAAATTATGCTATTGATTGCATTATGGCAAATGCAGGATCCAGAGTTTTTAGAGCTTGACCCACAGGGAGTAAAAGTCAGGATGTCTCTGCCTCTTTTGCTTTGATTTTGTCCATTCTTTTTGAACTGTCTCTTGAGTTCCCCAACTTTATGGGAGTGCAATATGAAGCTGGAGCACCCCTTTAATTCATGATAACAAACTAATAAGAAAAAGCTGTAGTAAAACAAATATAGGTTTTAAGAAATTAACATTTAAAGTGGGACCATATAACTGTTGTTGGACAGCAGCCACTTTGGCTACAAATGACAATTATGGGAATATGTTTAATGCTACTTTTTAGCATTTGGCTCCAATGCTATGCTATTTAATAGTAGCACAAGTGGAGAAGAGTCATAAAGTCAGGGGAGTGACTCAGTACTGTTCGTTATACAGACATATTCATCTAATGTTTGTTAACATTAGCTAACATTAGCCATAAAGCCTCACTTGGTCATACCGGACCGAATAACACTGGACCAGCAAAACCCTGAAGTTTACTGTACTGAACAATTGTGCGTTTTGTTTCATATGAATTCAACTTTTCATTTGTAAGAAGAAGAATGTTTTATTTGTTCCCTCAAAACTTACATTGTGTTTAAGATTACTTACAAATATGTAGCATGTGTTATAGCAGACAAACATATGCATCTGGATGTTGCAATACGATGGTTAAAATAAATATAATATGAATTTGATGAAATTGAATTGTATCAAGTACAAAAAAAATGCAAACAGCAAATTAACAGACTATGTAGTTTTAAATTAAAAGCCATACAAATCTTGATAAAATGTGAAATTTTCTGACATATCAGAGAAGGTAATCGCAGATAGGTCAAAAGGGGCTTTACTGAACACTGTATCTGCAGTTTTACATTCTCGTACAGCGACATCTGTTTCAGCTTGCTCCTACAAAAACAGGCGTGCTAGTTCTGAGCACTAAATGTACTGAAACCACACACTTGCTCAGAATGTCTCTCTTTGTTGTGTTTGTGTATGAGAGGCCAGGATGAGTATACAGTACAGAAAGCTGCAAAAATTTTTTCAAAGCATTGTCTTGTAGAGCAATTTATAGTCAGCGGTACTGTCTTATACAATTTACACCACTGTATTTGACTACATACTGCAATCCTGTGCGGGTACACTGCCAGATACTGTTATTGCTGCTGGCACCACTTATGCCAAAAATATGCTGTGTTAAAATTTCAAACTCATGGATCTCTTAAGTGCCTTGGATTAAAGCATTCACCAAATTGCATATGTTTCATTATGTCATGTTTGAACGTTGCACAACAACAGTGTGAACTCATTTACCTCTGGCAGCCCTGGAGAGGACAGCACTTCTTCCACACTTTTGAGAAAAGCCTGGGTGGAAGAAAATGGACATCACGGAACTGTTGCATCATATGCACATGGGTGGGCATTGCGTCTGTGTGTGAACTGGTTTTGCAAGTGTAACATGTGTGTGCGTTCGTGTGTGTGTGTGTGTGTGTGTGTGTGTGTGGGACTGACCTGTGTGAGGTTGTTGGCAGTGTTGTGAGGAATGGTCCTATTGGGCAGAGCCTTCAGGAAGCCCAACACTGGCATGGACTCCGGGTCCTGGGAGCTTTGGACATCCTCGCTCTGACTGCTGACGACAGGAGGACTCACTTCAGTGGCTCTCTGGGGAAACAACACATCAGGCATCAAATGAGGTTCACTATCAGGAGGCACTTTCCGAAGGAGCACGGAGTTCCAACATACACAGGATGTTTAGTGACTGATAGCCCGATTCAGGGAATACTCTTTGGACAAGTGATTCAGTGTTGCTCTCCTTCAGTCCAGTGCCCTAAAGGGAACCATTTTGTGTGCAGTGTTGAGCAGCTGTCTCCACTCTACTCTATTTCTTTATCCGTTTTCTACCTCCAAAGCCTTTTAATAAACAGGAGTCTATTCACATGTGCTCTCAATATCCTTCCTCCCAACTCCTCTATCTTCAAAAGGAAATAACAGCTCAATAAGAAGTTTGTCTTTCTATTGAGTCAAGCAAAGGCCGTCATCTCTCTTCTGTGCTTATTTTGGCTCTAAACATTTCTGCAAATTTGTCATACAATTTGGATGCTGCATTTGTGAAGAAAACCTCGATAGTTCAAACATGTGGTATAAAATTATACTTAGGTATCAACTCTGAGCCTTGCTAAGTCAGAAGTGACACACTTACGACTGTTGGCGTCGTTGAAGTGACCTCTTTGGAGAATCTGGGTGTCGTGGCAGAGGCAATGGCTTCACCTAGAAAAGACAATAAACAGGGCTCTATTAAAATAGGATAGGAACCACACTATTGACCTGTATAGATGGTTGTAATTCACTTTTTATCTCTGGTGGACTTTCCAGTTTAGATAGCCCCTGCCTTTTTGTCATTTTGTTATTAGGCCCTTTGTTGAACTTGACCAGGCCTGGCTGCTGCAATGTAGCTGGACTTTATCACCCTACAGCTTGCAGTTTACGAGGCTGGACCATGCCCAGTCATGAAAGAAGATAGATTACAACCTCCACAAAACTGGGATAATCAACCACATTATACTCTGCCACTAGCTTCTGTACATTTTATATCTTTGTTGTCATTTCATAAAGGCGGCATTAACTAGCTACCAGAAAATGGCCATATATGGACCCACATTAGAGGTATCACTGTGAACCATTCCTGCTCTTCTTTGGTTCAATGCAACATTTTATATGAGTGCTCTGGAGAAGTAAAAATATTTTTCTGTAACCATAACAGTCAGGCTCTTTGCGTCTGGTAATGTTCTGTGGAATATATTGCTTTTGGTAACGACTTCGAAGAAGAAATCAAGGCAGTCTGCACTTTATGCTTCACACATTATGACCAGCTGAAGCTCCGGCAGTACACAGTAATAGTTTTCGTGTATCCCCATACACACAATGGAAGAGACAACCCTCACTAATCAGACTGTTTCATCCACAACAAAAGGCGATTCAGCCTTTGTTAAGCTGAAAAGGTTCATTTCATCAGGCTTTGAACCTTTCTCACACTACCAAGAAATTTAGTTAATGTGGATTATCACGCACAAACATTATTTCGAAGTTCTCGTAAATGTCAACTTTTTTTTCTCCATTTATGGCAATCTACTGAACACGGAGGTAAACAGCAAAAGAACAAAAACAGAGTCTGGGGGTTTTTGTCTTAGCATGTTATAACCTGTCACTTTAAATCAAAATGATCTGCCCCCCGCAACCCAACCTGCCTCTGCACTCTTATAAATACTTATAAGGCAGAACTATGTGAGCCATGGCACTTGTATGATAGAAGGTCATGAAAATGTTTTGTGCAAGAAGAACCATTTGACAGGGAAGTGGAGTATATTTGTACAGTTTAACATCTTGTTGTTATGCATGAATGCCGTGGACGGAATGTGGAGAGGAAAAAGACGGAAATTGCTTTTTAACCCCTATTTCCTCAGTGCAGAGTCAAGAGGGAGGGAGCGTTATAATAGATATGCTATGTCCTCCAATGACAGGAAATAGTTTCCACAAGAGCTTGATGTCCTACCTATGGCGGCACTGTAGTAGAGCCTAATCTCATCAGCAGAAAGGGCCCTTTCCCAGATCACAAACTCGTCAAAAGCGCCTGTTACGTAGTGACCGTACGCCCTGTCGTTGCCAGTTCCAATGACAAGGTCAGGGTAGGGGTCTCCATAGTTCTCTGAGACATTGCCAGCAGGGTCACTGACAGTGAAAGTCCCATTGATGTAGACCTTCAGACCAGCCTTTTTTGTCCATGTGAAGAGAATGTGCGTCCAGAAAGGCCCTGAGAGAGAAAACAGAGAACAATAATGTTTTTTTTTGTAGAATTATAAGCAGCAGTTTGACAAAATAAGCACTGCAAATTTTAAGACAGGAAATTCAGGTATAAGTAGTACGGCTTTTCATCTAAACATTTTTTTGTTGCTAATTTTCTGCAACAAACATAGAGCAGGATGTGTACTCGCAAGCAAATGTGCAGGGATGCACTCGCTCAATGAGAGAGTGTGATTCAAGTCATTGATTTGTTTGAAGTATCGTGATTCTCACTGAGTCCCTGTGAGCGAATGCATGACTCACTCGTTCACTCCTTTCACTGTGAAGGAACGGTGCATGATAAGTGATTCATTCATTGAATGTACTACGCAGTGAACTTGAACCCTGAGTAATACTCAGCGGCTCAAACAGCTGTAATCAGGCCCAGCAAGTTCGAGAGTAGTGCAGAACTGTAGATATTCTAAAAACATTTCAAATATACATAAATTATAAACAGAGTTTGGCATGTTTGTCTAAGTTCCAGACGCTGAGGATTTGAACGTACACCATTCAGCCGTCTTTCAGGTTAGTGAGTGGGACTGAACGGCTCGGTGAATGAATCTTTAGAATCTTTTTAACGAACTGACTCCAGTGACTCGGGACACTGAAAACAACTGCTTTGCACATCACTTATGTTCTGACAAAACACTAATGATTATTTTCATTATCTGTTAATCAACAGACTATATTTTCTTGATAAATCCATTAATCCATTATTCTGTGAAATGTAAAAAAAAAAATCATGAAAAATGCCCATTGTAATTTCCCTGAGTGTGATGCCTTCAACTTGCTCGATTTATCAAAACACGGCTCTAAAACCCAAATATATTCAGTGTGCTGTCATATCTGACAATAACAAGTCCTTAAATCTGAAAAGCTGGAACAGGAAATTTTGGTTGAAGGGGGAGTCTACAGCTATGCTGTGAGGCATAGCAGTGCTTTGAGCTAAATGCTAACATCAGCATGCTAACATACTACAATGACAACAGTAACAGGCTGACGTTCGCCATGTTCACCATCTTACATTAGTGCAGGACTATTCAACTGGACATTTCCCTGAGCAATTCTCATTATGTACACTTAATACAACATGGCACCACATTTTCAAAACTGCTATTATATATACATATTGCATTTGATTTTCTGTGCTAATAAGCTGCGATATCAACAAGTTTTCTACAACACATCATGTCAGCTGTCTCGCATATCAGTGACAAAAAGAGGCAAACAACAGAAGAGAGCAAAGAGAATGCAAAAGTTGAAAATGAACTGAACTTGATGGTGCATTTGATCCAACACAACTATGGATGGGTATTTTTAAGATGATGTATCGTTCAGCAAACTCCAACAGCATTGTTTAGAAAAAATCACTATTATAGACTGATTGAAGATGGAAATGTAAGACAAATGTAATACACAATGATTTGCTACAGGACTTTTTCTGTGATAGTATTTACTGTGCAGTAGTTCACCAGCTGCCCCCAAGTCACAAAATCCACCCCTGCGCTGAGGGACCTGAAACTGAAACTGAATTTCTGAACGACAGTTCAAATGATGCTCTGTCCATTTCAGATTGAACCCCACTTTACGTTTAGTTCTCTCCGCCATTGTCACTACAAGCAACATCTCTGTGTCTGTGTCTGTGAGCTCCAGGTGCTCCAGCGTGAGACAGAGCTGCCCCCACCCCTCACACACACAGGCTCCGCGAGAGAGAGAGAGAGAGAGAGAGAGAGAGAGAGACAGAGAGAGAGAGAGAGATGACAGACCTCATCAATACTACAGCCGTACCATCCCTACACACAACACAAACTATAGTTGAAAGTTTGTAACATTTTGACAACAGACACTGCTGTTACTGTCTGGGAGTGGTGTAACTGTTCACCTCTGTGGTTTAGATGATTTATTGTAGCAAAAAATTATTCATAATTAAACAACTGATCAGCGGGCTGGTCAGGCTTGATTGATTGCCGCCACTTGAATAGCCATGCGCTTGCGGACGTTTGCTGAACGTTTGCTGAACGTTTGCTGAATAGTTAGCACAAAAAACAAAAATTAGCTGCAGCTGAGGCTGATGGGAATATAAATACTTTATCGGTTTGGCAGGTACTTCTTCAAAAACTAAAGTATTGGACATGATGAAAATTTTGACCAGATGACGGAGCTTGATAAAAAGTTATGGGATCACTAAAGTAATTATGATTAATTCGCTTCCTTAAATATGGCTTAAATGATTAATTGTTAATCATAGTAGTTGGTGATTCATTTTCATCGACTAATAGATTACTATACTAATTTTCAGCTCTAAACGTTTTAATTGTCTTTGCTATTTTATGATATAAAGCCACATAAATCCTGTGAAGAACTCCAGGCCACAGTCTGGTGTGGTCCTACAAACTCTTTTCTATTTTCTCTGAGGTATTTTGACAATAAAGGGAGTCCCAAAAGACAATACATTCACTGTCTGAAAACACTTGTGCCAGAAGAGCACAACAACCAAGAACACATCTCATTTGTGGTTAGAATATAAACCATGTGTGCCAAAGACCCCCCTCCACTTTAACCAGTTCAAGTCTCTCTTTCACCTCTTCATGCAGAGAGTTTGATCTACAGTGTGACATTCTTTGCCTTTACTGATAATCACATTGGTCAGAGGGCACCTCAAGGTTTAATCAGCCCCCCTCAAAGCTTAACCTCGCACTCGTGACACACAAGGGAGAGAACTGACAGATTTTGACAGTATGTCCTGAAACTTGGACATGTCACGCTGTATGAGAACCAGATGATGTTTGATCCTCTGTAACTGAATACTGAAATCAAAATTGAGTTATGACGCCCCGTGAACACAACTTTGACTAACTGCTGCAAAAACATAGATGACATAAGTCATTTGAGTACTAAGCACTGACCTGTAAAACGTTAAGCCTCATATGGTTTATTCAAGTTTGTCATAACAGTTTTCCAAATCATTTCATCTCATTAGAATACAAATCTTATTTTCAGGATTGAATGCAAAGTATTGGTCACACTCTGAGCTTTATTATGTTTCACATTTCATCTAAGTGGACCTGTACTCACCAAACATTATTGTATTTAAGAGGGAAGTGACTGCATCTCATTACACATCCATGATATTTTTATGTTTTGTGATACAGCAAGAGATTTATGAAAGGTATCCTTGACTAGCCAAATCAACTGCCTGCGGCTACATCTGGTTTGAGTTAACCAAACCATGAATGCAATTATATAACTAACAATTTATGGTTGAAAACAAAAAGTGTATATATAGAACGAAAATGCATTCATCACGGGTGCCTATGGAAATTAAAGGAACACTGTGTGATACAAAGGCAGATTGATTCACAGTACCTGGAACTCTGATGTTGGCCTTCCATCTGTGGTTGTTGCCTCGAGTGTAAAACTCCACATATCCTCCAAAGGGATTGGTGTAGACAGAGAAGCCATTGGAGATAACTTTCCCTCCAGAGGCAACAGCAAAGCGGGACTCTGCCTCATGGTTTTTCCAGAAAAAGGAGAAGGTAATCCCTAGAGAATGATGGAAAATCAGTTTTAGCCATCAACACAAAGAAATATTTTTTTGGCAAAATTATCATGTGCATAAACGACACTCACCGTCAGGACCGCACAAAGTAGGATCACTAATGCAAGAGTTCTGGTAGTTTCCAAAGTGGAGGAAGGTACCACCGTTATCTCCATTCAGAAAGATGCCCTTGTTAACCATTCCTTCAACAATGTCTGCGGCAAACACAAATCAGAGACATGATTTTGCTTGAAAATGTCTACTTCAGGGCCAAAATATTCATAATGTTTAATTATCTGCTCATTCAACAAATGAAATTATCAAAAGACCCTTAATAGTAAACTAATCATGAATTGTTTTGCAACTGATGATTATGCTTTCTTGGTATCTCATAAAACCACACCATGAGCATTAACAGACTCGGTTAGATGTATTCACATGCTACAATTCTGGTTTGACTAAAAGCTAATGAACAACAACAAATGATTAAAATTCCTCATGTGGTGCTGAACAAGCAAAAGACTGAACAAGGACAAAAGTGTGACGTGCTCAGCTCAACCGTGTGTAAACACAGAGACGACAACAGAGAGCAATGGGTGATGCAGGAGTGAATTTCAGTGAGCAGAGAGTAATTGATCCTCACCTACTGTTGCAGAAATGTTAGTGTAGGCAGAGTCATTGGTATACACATAGGAAGAGTTATGGGAGGAGGGGAGCACAGTGTGGTTGTGGATTCTGAGTGCTGGACAAAGACAACGGAGAAAAACAATGATTCACACCTACATAGACACAGAAGACACAGGAGAACAGTGAAAGGAAGACAACAGGAGGGACGTGGTGTGCAGGTATGAGACGGAGTGATGCTGAGCTGAGCGCACAGTAGCAGCGCTCAAAGAGGATTCACACTGACTCCACACATCATGCTCAAGTCTATACCTGATCCCTCTTCAACTTTATCATTTTTTAAAACTTGCAACTGACCAGTTTATTCACAACATGGCTGTAAACTCAATGCATGTAGTAACGATCTTTCAGTCCTGCAAACTCTAAAATGCAGAATAACTAATCCGCTCCTTACATTTTTTCAGTCTTTTACCACCTCCAGATTATGGGATACTATATGTAAAGTAGTGCAGCATTTTAAATCATAAATTACTTCACACACCAGCTACTTCATCAATTTCAGTTTATAAATCTGACATACAATCTAAAAGCTCTCAACACATTTAAAAAAGCATGATGACTGTGGCTGGAAGGTGGGTGGTGAAAAACAGCTTGAGACCATGCAGAGAGCAATCAGAGAAAGACATTTAGGTGGTGCATTCCCACGAGTATATACATTCTGTTTATGTATGCACATACTTATGTTGCTTCCGTTAACATAACCTGGTCTGTTTCCAATCTGGTCCCACAGTTCATGGATTCCGTCCACAGCATCGAGAGGCCAATAATGTGAGGCCGTGGCCAACACCTGCAGGCCTGGACGGAGAGTTCACGAATAAACAAGGATCCAGAAAAGGGCTTTTCCCCCAATCAAGCTCTGTCTCATTACTCAAAATTTATTTTCCTGGCACTCAAATTTGGATTTTTTTTGGGGGGGTGGGGGGGAATAAAAAGATTGATAATAATGAGCACAACAGCTATAAAAGTTGTTGATTCAACAGACTATTCTGATTATTGAGAAGAGCAGTAAACAAATCAACAACATCCTCTGGTTTGAGAGTTAGCAGATGGTGAAACACTTTCTTATCCAGCATATAGCTGTATAATGTCATCTTATTTAAATTTCAAACAGTATGGAAAAATGAAAGCAATCACACCACCCGTAGAAAAATTCATTACTACCTGGATGCTTCACAGGTTGTACCACTTGAGCATAAACCTGTAAAGAAATCGAATGTTATTTATAAAGGCTGCTACACAACAGATGACTACACAGACCAAAACATTAGAGGATTACAGGACTACAGTTATCTTGTAATCTTACCTTAATGCATGAGACAAAAGCTGCAAAAAGGTTAATTCGCAAAGAAAATTCCATAGCTTTTGGAAAATGTACCATATACAGTCTTTTCTAAAAACAACTGTTAAATCCCCATATAAAAATGAATCCAGGAGGAGTCACTCATTATTCCAAGATGTGAAAACTTCTGATCAGTCCATGAGTCCAAACTTTGGAATAAAGTTAAATAATAATACCAGTACTAGAACCAACAAAAAGGAATCAATTTAGTGTTCTGGCATGAGGCAGAAAAACTTAAGAAGTTTCTCTTTCATGATAAAAATGTGAAGCCAACCTTCCAGTTCCACGCAGAAAACTGTAATCCTTGATCTTAATTCTCACATTGAACTAGTACTTGTTTCTTGGAGTTTCTGTGCCTGCATCTGGAAACTGCAAAGAGTAGAGAAGCTCCGTGGAGGCGTACTGGGGTTGCTGGACTGAACGTGGGAAATGCAAAACGTGATGTCATTTTTGGATCTTCTGAGGTGGGGCGTTAGAGCTTTGCGTAAATGGCAGTATTTGTGCGTAATTTGAGATTGCGCCGGCAATGAATGAGATCAAGATCTGCGCTCTGCGATCCAAATGTTGTTTGGATAAAAGATACGCATTAACATGAAGTTTTGGATAGTGGGTTAAATTACTGGGCAACACCCCGGACTCTCTGGGAACAACAGGGATGCTGCTGAGGATGGGTGGTTTTTTGTAACAGTCTGCTGGAAGCCAGACAGAGCCAGAAATCACTGCAGTTACAAAGATACAACTTCTGAAGCACTATTTACAACTTTTCATGGGTTTCTCAATGGGTTACATTTCAACCATTCACACTAACCCAGACGAAAAAGAAGGACGATTCGCGATTCACTGTAGATCCAAGTAGAATTATTAAATAGAAATAGTGAAGTGTCAAATGACATGTGAGTCAGAGTTCGACTTTTCTTGAGTTTCTGTTTGTGAAATACTGTTGTGATTAGAATAATTCCCACAGGTCATCAGCTCCTCCAGTTCCCAAGGTCAATTTGGATCCATATGATGGTAAACAGCGCCACCGTGTGGCCAGGTGGTCAACAAGTCCGGCTTATCTATTATTCACTCTACTCTTCTCATATGTCTGCCTGCTGGTGTGTCTGCTGTCAAGCTAAAATTCATCATCTGATGACAGAAAAAATCTCTGTGGTTTATATGTAACAAACCACAATAGAGTGTACTTTGTTAGTTAGAAGTAGCCTTGTTTTTAATGGAGGTTATGTAATATTCAATTCTTCTCTACTTTCTATCTTTTCAAAATATAATAGGATTACATTAATTTAGTTGGTTTATCATAATGGCTGATCAAATTTAATTGAGGGTGGACTAGTTTCTCTCCCCCGAGGCAGAGAGAGAGAGAGGGCGGGGGAGGGAGAGAGAGAGAGAGAGAGAGAGAGAGAGAGAGAGAGAGAGAGAGAGAGGTGGGAGAAAAGGCGTAACCCAGGGTGAGAGATATTGTGGATCTGTTACGGATCCTTTGCGCTTGTGCGGTGACAAATATCGACACAGAGTGGACCAGGAGCGGTGACTTTAGACTTTTGTTTTTGGAGAGCTCTTTTTTTTCAGAGCTGTATCTTCTCAGTTTTGATAGAAGTCAAACTTTTAGACCTGATGCGCTCTCTTCCTAATTCTGTCGTCTCAATAACACTGTAAATGTAGGCCCACTGTGTTTCTCAGCTCAGCTCACTTCGACCATCTGGACCTCAGTCCACAGTGAGGTGGCTCAGTGTTACTCTACACATGGAGACTTCCAGGATGAGCCAGCGGGTGTTTTAATAAAATTATTCGACCAGGAGACGAGCTTATCGGTGTGATGAAGGATCGACTGGCTGAACTAACCGCTGTAAGTGTCTTTTCTTGCTTTAACTGCGCAGACCCAGGTAAATGATCCTGGCTGCACACATAAATCACTAAAGGACATTTTTCATCTATTCAGAGTACGACACAAGCAGAGGAGGATGTTGCAGTCACAGTGGACAGAGATGGCTTCATGGAAAGCTTTTTCAGGAGGGTGGGTATCACTGTGACTTCAAAGATGTGCACTGGATGTGCACGTGGATACTGATACTGTTGGTTCATTTATTTATTGGTTGATTTAGGTGGAAGAAGTTAGAGGACTCATTGATAAGATCTCCTACCAAGTGGAGGAGGTGAGGAAGATACACAGCATGATCCTGTCTGCACCCAACCCTGATGACAGTAAGTGTGTCTTTGTAAAAAAATAAATTAAAAAAAAACAGGAAAAAGAAAACACAGGATGCTGACATGTGTGCAGTTTTCAAAGGTTAACTTGTGCATTCATTTGAGTTTGACTTTTGAGGCACAGAGTGAACATGCAACAAATGTCTCTCTTCCTTTGTTGCATTTTCCTCCTTATTGTAAATGAGTGACTGGCTGGCCGGAAACCTGTGAAGGAAACGGCAGCAGTTTGCCTCAAAACTCACAAATCACTGTGGTTTGGGCTTTGAATTGTTCTGTTATGAACCTTTTAGCAGTTAGGGGTTTAAACATGCTGTCATTTGCAGATGTTTGTGGACATAAATCAATAATAACACATTTTCTCTAACTAAACAGAAACAGTTTAGCACTTAAAAAAAATATTATTTGAAGCTATATAACAGGGCCATATGTGCACAGTGTTCAAAGACCTGACAATCAGCCCTTGGCCTTGTTCGGTGTGTGAGCTGAGGCGGAGGACCCTGCTAGACAAACACTCTCCAGCACTTTACAGTGCCATGGCATCATTAGTGATTGAGTTTAATGTAACATATTAGAATGTTTTAAGATCCATGACGTGGAAATGGTCACCAGGGAAACAAACTAAACGCCTGTGCTTTATGCTGTGTGACCTCTGCAGTGTTGTTGCCAAGTTACAAGATGAAATCACAGTAAATTCAGTATTTACAGGAGGGAGAGTCACAGTGATTAGCTGGATGACATTATTTTTTCTCATTAAGAAACCCAGTCTGACGTGTTTCCTATCTCTCTGTGTGTTTGTGTGTGTGAAGGAACAAAGGATCAGCTGGATGCGCTGACCAGTGATATCAAAGGGAATGCCAATGTTGTGCGAACGAAACTAAAATGTGAGTCGAACCATTATGTGATTGTCACTTAGATATTTATTAACTGCACCAAACAAAAGCTGATGTCGTCTGCTGTTGTGTAACGTTGTACCATAACTCTCTCCCTCTGAAGCCATGGAGCTAAGTATGCCCAAAGATGATGTGGTTAACAGATCCTCAGTTGACTTCAGGATCCAGAAAACACAGGTCAGGAAACAATTTTATGACTGAAAACCTCACTTTTCAAAATAAGGAAAATGATACAATATTTACAATGAAATCCAGTCTGAAATACCCACATTTTCAACCTTAGTCCTTGTGTTTTCACTTGTCCTCAGCACACAGTGCTGTCCAGGAAGTTTGTGGAGGCCATGACCCAGTACAATGAGACGCAAGTGTCCTTTCGGGAAAGAAGCAAAGGAAGGATCCAGAGACAGCTGGAGATAAGTAAGTGACACGTAATGGACCCCCTGGCCAGAGAGGATGGGCTATATTTAGGGAACAATCTTTGAAGCTTTTAAGGAAAATATTATTGATGTAAATTGCTAATGCTGACATGAAATACTCCTTACACACATTACTGTGGCTTGAATTTGGTTGCACGTACAAGATTTGTGAGTGCCAGATGTTGAAATCTAGAGATAAAAGAGTGACAAATAAAACCCTGAGGCGCTGTTAGGGCAGGATCCAGGAAACAGACTACACCGGTTTCCTCTCTGCTTCTCTGGACACCAGCCTAACTGTTGATAAACAGACACCAGTGGCAGGACAGGATTTTGTTCAGATTTCTTTAAGGTGTCAGGGTTTTTCTCTTTCACACATACCAACTTCACCACTGATCACACACAAACACTAGATTGTTTTGTGAGTTTTTATGGAAGTTAAATGAGGCTTTGTTGGAGAAGTAGGATTGATCAGATAGACAGACAGACAATAGCTTGACAAGAGAGTAGCAACCAGTTATTTAAGATACATACAAGGTCCTGACAAGGTACAATGAATAAAAATGTCTTGAAAACGTGGATTACATCATCAACATGATGTGTAAAATAGCAGCATTAGTGTCTGTAGCAGCATAATCTACATTTAGCCAGTGTGAGATTTACTGCCAATAATATACACTATAAATGAGTATATCAGTATATTAACATTCACACTCGATTGTTAGTTTTAGCTTGTGTTCATTGTGTTTGTCTTTGCAACCAGGCTAGTTGATATTTTCCAGCATTTCTCTGGAGGAGTGTGTTTGGTCATCTCTGTTTAAAATGACAGTGAAAAACAAATGCAAAGACGGTGTGTATCAGGTGCATTGTATTATGCATGTATGAGTAACATGAGACAATAGTGAAAGGCAAAAAATAGGACTGTGTCCCACAGTCCCTGCGGCCAGCATTAATGAGCCGCTCTAGTTCTCCACACTGCAGGCGGAAGAGCCTGATACAGGAGACACCTCGCTGTGTTTGTGTTGCCCGGGAAACGGGCAGAGGGCCCAGCCGCCTGTGTAACAGTAGTTCACCTGTCTTTGACACGGCCAAATGAACCTCAGTCTGTGCTGTCACAGACTTACACCATTCATTTACATCTTTCAGAAGTGATAGTGTTCGTGCTTGATGTCTGTTGATGAGCTGTAATGGCAGTGTGTTTTACTGTGTTTGGCTGCGTCTCTCTGAGGAATAACCATTGCAAAAGGTGTGTGACATACAGTAAGCACCTGCACAGAGAGCTGTCTCCCCAGGGAGGGTGTTGTACAACAGGAGGCATGGCTTCAGGAAAAGAAAGCTTTCTGTTTATAGAGTTTCAGCAGCTGTTTCTCTGTGAGGGGTGCCGGGCTCCTTTGTTCCTCAGACACTTCTAATCTTAGTCACAAGTACGACCCTTATCCATGAATAAACTGAGCACCACAGCAGGAGCTGACTGTGATTAAACATCAAATTATCTAAATTAACAGTCCTCTGATCAAGGTGTTTTTAGCAACAGTTGCACTGAGATGTGGAGTTTTTCCTCAGCATGTGTTTCAAAACCCAAAATCCTTTGTTTTTTGAAAAAAAGCATGCTAACAAAGTCTTGCAGTGACGCCTAACTTCAACCAGTGTGTCTTTTTACATTTCGAATGAAATCTCAATTTGGTGTTCCATTAAACAATACAATACACCTCTCATTACTTGGGGGGGAAAGTCAGCAGTGTGTTTGTAGCAGAGTCCCCTGGGTGGATAACAGAGACATTATTTTTCTGTCAGCTCAATCAGCAGAGCTACAATGAGGCTTCTTCTCCTCACACTGTGGGCTTTATATACAGAGCAGCTTCACAACACTGCCAGACAAATGTATTATCCTGGGATTAAACGCACAGCAGTATATATTGTACCAGGGATAAGCACAGATATTTGTTGTTTACATTCAAGATATTAGTGCAACACTCACTTGAATGTCAGAGTCGTGTTTTTATTGTTTTTAAAGCATGCTGCATGAACGATGAACACTAATTACAGGGTGCCTCAGATAAGTCATCTTTTAGTCATAGACAGAGCTCAGTCCATTGGTCCTCCATATTTTAATGCCAGATGATGAATCAAAGGTCCAGAGGGAATAATAAAAGGGCACAAGTAGGAGTGGTGTCATATAAAAAAAAAATCTCAGGACTCAATTTTCTCCACAGGAGCTATCAATGGCTGCAGCCTTTTCTGTATAAAGTCTTTACTTGAGCCCTGTAAATGATACTGTGCACAATGTCTCTGAGCCAGTTTCTGAGCATTGGGGGACAACAGCCTCTTCATTTTTAATTATGGTCTGATGTGCAATTGGCAGCTTCTCTTGATCTGGGATTCATTTGTACTTTTATTCACTATGAACAAGATCATTAAACTGCCCTTATGCAGCACATACCCTGATTGAAAGTTGTAATGTTCTCTGTCATTTTCTTCCCAGAATAAAAACACATTCAATGTTTCAGAGAGAGGCCTACATCTACAGTTGTATGACAAGATGCCATACTACACAGTAAAATCTAGTGAAGGAGTGAAGTATGCGGCAATGTTATTGTATGTGTCTGTGTCTCCCCCTGTATTTTACAGTTGTACTGCAGCCTTCATCACCCCTCATTGCAATATGCAGTCAAGAGTTTACTGAAGACTTCAGACACTTAAGATTCATCGTCACACTTATAAACTGCTCTGCATTGCATTGTGAAAATCTGAGCAGGAAGTAGTGTACATGCCCTAACACTATTTTTCTGTTCCAATGTGGAAATCTTTAGGACACTATATACAACAGAAATTTCACATATAAACACACACACACACACACACACACACACACACAATTTTTCGACACTCAAATAAAATGGTGGACATACCATAGTGATAAGATTAATGATGGATGAATTCCATTTAGCTGCTTCACCTTCAGGTCCTGGTTCAGTCCTGGCTCTCTGTCACACTGGTATGGCCTTCTGGGGCACTTGAACAGAACAGGCAGAGCCATCGGTAATGTTATTAGCAACACCAACTATGACAAGTGAAAATATCTGCTCTCAAAATGGCCCACTAATTTAAAACAACATGCCTTATTTTTTATTATATATTTTCCTCTAGTTTCACCATTAACATAAAATTTTAAGTATAATATTTTAAGTACTAGGAGTTGGTTGTGGGCAAAAAAATTTAAAAAAAACAACTTTTTCTAGGGAAAACAAAAAGTAATGAATCAACTAATCATTGCTTTTTTTTTAATTATTGTTATGGTTTTAGCTGGAAGAGTGACCACTAATGAGGAGCTGGAGGAGATGTTAGAAAGTGGAAATCCATCAATCTTCACATCGGATGTAAGTTTTCTCATTCTTTCCTGTGCAGTATCTCGTTATTTCACGGTTAAATGCTATGACTACCATCTAGTGGTGGTGGAGGAGTAAATTGTCTAGGGTGAGGTAGTGTACTGTCAGGCCCTTTTTTCACATGCTTGTGTTTTTGGATAAATTATATAACCTTGTCTGTCTTTATTTCCTCCTCAGATCATTTCTGATTCCCAGATCACACGTCAGGCCGTAAATGAGATAGAGTCAAGACACCAGGACATCATGCGTCTGGAGTCGAGCATCAGAGAGCTGCATGCCATGTTCATGGACATGGCAATGCTGGTAGAGACGCAGGTAACGGATAAATCTAATTATAAAGTTACATGGTAAAAGCTAGTCACCCCCAATACATCTGTTAGACACAATATATAAAAGCATGGTGATTCTCTCATTTACAGGGGGATATGGTTAACAACATTGAGAAGAACATCTCCAATGCAGCCGAATACATTTTTCGTGCAAAGGAAGAGACCAAGAAAGCAGTGAGATACCAGAAAAAATCCCGGAGGGTATGTGTTCCCTTCTAGTTATGTGTTGCTAAATTGTCATGAATTAAAACATTTGTAAATGTCAATTAAACAAGATGTCAAAGTTCAAGTAGCAAACTGTAGTCACGTGTTACCACTTAAAACTGTTTATAGCCTTTTTGATAGTATGAGAGTTTTAGACGTAGTTCAAATAACAACCTTTTCTTCACTTGGCAGAAATACATTATCCTTGCCTTTGCTCTGTTGATCCTGCTTGCTGTCATTGCACTAATTGTTGGCCTGTCTGTTGGACTAACTAAACCTCCTGTATGAGACCTACTGTGATTACTGCGTGAGGTAACGACACTTCCACATCCACAACCTCCATTCCTTGAACCAAACAATCATCCGTCTGTCCTTCCATCTATATATCCATGAATTCATTCATGCATTTAGCCGTGGAACGTTTTAAAGGATTTGTAGTGCAGATCTTTATAAACAACCCCTCTGACTCCTCTTTTCTTCTGTTTTTGACAGAAACTTCTCTGCCTTGCTACATGTGGTGCTGCAGGTTTCCTCCTTTTACTCATCATAATAGTTGGAGTCTTTGAGTGATGGATATCATGGTTCACAACCTTACAGCAGTCAGCTGCTCCTGTGGTGATGAGGCAGGGAGCAGCTTTATAATAAGACTGTCATTCACTATCCAACAGCATTACAGAGATGATCTCTTGACCAGAGTGAAGTAAGTATAATGCGTGTGTGACCCACTTTGTGCAAGTAACATCAGACCTCATGATACACTGTTCTTGAGCAATTTTATACAGCTAGAATAAAGTATCCTGTCTGCACATATCGCTTTGCCTTAGATGTGATGTAATGAAAACTGACAGCACATCAGATTTATATGCTGGTGTACGTCCTGTATTGCTGCCATTTTTTTTTTCATGTTGGGTATCACTTTTGGACATTTCTTGGTCTAATGGCTTTAAAGGACTAGTTTTATGTTTTGAGAAATCTGCTTATTGGCCTTCTTTCAGACAGATGAGAAGATTGATGCCATTCTCGTGTGTATGGTGAATATGAAGCTACCACCTGCAGCCTCATAGCTTAGCTTAACATAAAGACTGGAAAAACAGCTAGCCTGGTTCTGTCCAAAGGTCCAAACAAAACTCATGACACGTCAAGGTTTTAGGGGGTATTATGTGCCAAACTATTTCTTGGCCAGGTGTAGTGTCTTCCTGGAGTCTTGCTGCCGTTGTGAGGTTTGCTCGTAGGCCAGGCAACTAGTGGACGCTCCAGGAAATCACTGATGCTGGTACATCCATACACCCCTTTTAAAACTACAATGAACGGAATAAACAAACAAGATATAATATGGTAGACTGTGAGCCTTAGATACGCCTTTTAGGCTAATTTTGTTACCTTTGGACAGAACTGTTTCCCTTAGTTTCCTTTCTTTGTACTGAGCTAAGTGGTTGGCTGCAGCTTCGTATTTAGCATAGAGATATGAGAGTGGCATCAGTCTTCTCACTTTACTTTAAGAAAGAAATTGCTTATATAAACTATTGTATAATCCTTATGTCCTCATTGTCCTTTTGTATATTTACTGTTATTCATGTGAACTGAATGTAAAACTGCTGCAGCTCAGGAGTTCCGTAGGAATAGCAAAATGTAAAAAAATATAGATATACATATATTCCCTGTAAGCATTTCTACTGAATTGTGTTTTAATCGGAAGAAATATTTTCAGATCAAACAAATGGGATTCATCAATTCATTTCATAACTCTTATAAAAGTGCCTTCTTGATATTTAATATGAAACTTTAACTTATTCAGTTGTGTTTATCCCAATCACTGTGTGTGATGACTGAAATATTAATTGTGAAAAAAGTCATGCTGGACTCTTGGATGATATTTCAAGAGCGCACGTTTGCAATTTGATACATTTGATTAATGTTTTTTTTATGTTTTTAAGTTATCTTGTATTTTATATTAAAGCAGAATAATTAAGCCAGGTATTTGAAAATAAAGAGTAGAAAGTCTTTGCAGAACGCTTGTTTGTTTCCTTTCATATTGTCATATTGAATGTGATAAAGCTGGACTCATTAGTTAAAACTGTAGGATCACTCCAGATATTTTAAATAGCAAACACCTCTGAATTTGTCAGACATAATTACGGTTATTTTCTCAGTTCTTTTAACACTCCAAACATTTGGAGGCTCAGTTTGTTTAGAGGAAAACAGAAAGAAACAGAGGCTGCTGTTTACTTCAGGACTAATGAGCACTTTGCACAAAGCGCTTGACTTCCGTGTAATCAACCAAACAAGATTAGTGAAGAAAGTGGAAGTAAGCCCCTGGAGGGCAGGTTGTTTCCTCTCTTTGAATTAGATCAAAGGAAACTTCAGAGGTGCACTTAGAGTGAAATGCCAGTGAATGTCCTTAAAATTTGCACATGAGGATGTTTTCAGGTCACTGACCAAGACAGATGTCAAGTCAAGTGATATTATGAACTGTGATTAAACTTGGACACAGCAGTTCATGTGGGTGAGTAATTTCTATGGAAATCTGTACATTTTGACACTTTGGTAAATGAGAGCAAATCTGTGGAAATAATATTTTGAGAGGTATGGTTGTTTAGTCTTAATTAGTATATTTATTCATATTCCATACTGTTGTCTGTAAGAGTTTGCTAACTGTGACAGTTGGCAAGCTATTTCAGTTGACAATTTAGACAATTTGAGTACAGTTTATACTTTCCATGTGTCTAACATGTTCTTTACATAATGAAGCACAGTTCCGCTACAGTACAAGAGACCCACCACAATATTTCAGTCACTAACCATCCACCATTCGTCAGCATTACTAAAGGAACATATGCTAGTATTGTAGATACTGTACCACAGAAGTAGTCTAATCAAAGTTGTAGTGCAGTTTTCTTGTTAACAAACATTATGTTCACATTTAGTATGGCCAAAACGAGTATTGTACATCACTGAGGTCTAACACACGCGTTGAATGCATTTCACGTGCAAAGCCAACTTTATGAACATTATTCAAACCTCCTTTACTATGGAATCATAGGAGTGCCATAAAAAAATCTGTAAATCTGTAAAAGAACAGGAAAATAAATGTGGAAATGTGGGAACAGGAAAAAAAAAAAGAAGAAAAAAAATATGTAAAATATAAATAAATATATAAAAGAATAAAAACAGGGATTTAATCTATTGATTTTTAAATGTTTATTTACTTATTGTTTTAATTATTCTATATATCCACATTCATTTTCTTATTCTTTGACAGATTTATTCTTTTTTATGGCACTCCTGAGACTCTACAGCAGCGGTCCCCAAACTTTTTTCAGTGGGGGCCACATCAACTTTCCTTTCTGAGATGGGGGGCCGAGGTTAGTCTATAACAGGAAATGATATGGGCCAGGGTGACAACCAGTATTATTGTGGAGATTACAATGATAATTTGTTGTAGCTGCCCTTCGTTTGGCTTTGGCACCACCTGTTGATTTGCAAAAAAAAGTAATAAAAAGTCTTCACATGTGTTTATTTGA